CAATGCTCCCATACTGGAAGCGGCAAGCTCGTGCAATGACTGAGGTTGTAGCATGCCAAATAACCACACCATCTGACACTGCTTTAGACCTGCGAGAAGATCTTGAGAGGAACAGGATATAGGGTAAGAGTCGAAACTCACGTTGAATCATTTGCAGTGACGACCTGGCAGTGTTTGCTCTCGAACGTCTTCTTAAGCGTTTCTCTTAAAAACGCATTCTCTCCAAAGCCTCCGACAAGCAGAATGTGTTCACAGTTGATACCAGACATTTGCTCTCTCAAAGAGTCGACAATTTGTTTCACGAATGGCTGGAAGAACGTCTTCGTAGTCGTCCTTCGGGTGATATGCTTGTCAATTGTGATGGTCGTGTGCAAAGACGAAAATGATTTACCCATCGAGCGTCATTCGTCCACGCTTCACACCAACCGCTGGGTTGGTGTATCGGGTCTGGCCTATGTCTACGCTCCCTTTAGTCGTTATATCCTTGAAAGCTTTCTTCGCGGTCGTCTCGAAGTCATCTATAGCCTTCTTGACAAAGTCTCTACTTTCATCTGGCGGAAGGTTTGCTTCGGGGTTTGAGAATACGCGGTGGAAGTACTCTTCGGCAGCTTTATTGACGAATATGCCACCTGCTTGAATACAAGCCGATGGTTTGACCTCGCGAAGCTGAAGCTGGGGACGGACTTCTGACACGGAGTACGCGGTTGTATCGACTGTCGATCCACCTGTCGCAGGTCCCGACTTAGCAAGCTGTTCAATGGAAATGATTCAAACCACCTACCAGCATCGCAGACAACAAACTTCACGTTTGGCTAATATATATGAAGCGATTGAGCATCAATGAACTTTGGGATGGCGATTATCCCAGAAATCTTTCACCTTGAATTGTGGTGCCAAATTGGCGTGAAACATGCAGTAATGAACAGAAGCTTCTCCTTCAGTGACAAAGAAAATCCGATTATGCGATTCCGACTGAGGGACAACGTCAGCCGCCACGGCAGCTCTACGCATAAATTCCTGTTCCCTCAGGCCCCATCCATTCGGGTGAGCAATGACAATATCGGCAGAGGGGAAATACGTCTTCCACACACGAGCCCCATCAAGAACACGGTCCGTGAATGCGTCCTGTGTGTGTCTGATAAGATACCCAAAAAAGTCCCTATATATCGTAGAAAGGGGAACGCCCTCCGGCAGGGCTGCGCCGAATTGAGCCAATCAGCAAATTATGGCAGCACTAGAGCCAATAGCCAGTAGAACATACGATCGATGGTCAGATTATGCTTCTCTTTCATTGTTTGAGGGTGTAGGTGAAGCTTGAAATGCCTTGCAAGGATCCAACCATTGTCCTCCGCCTCATCTTGCGTCTCGGCGGTTAGTGCCTCGGCGCCAAACGCGGTGGCCTGATCACGAAGAGAGAGTGGGAGGGTGCCCACAAGATGTGTATACAACATTCACGCGATAGTGAGCTCCACTTACTTTCTTATTCTTGTTGTACCACAACAAGGTCGGGATCTTACTTTCCCCCTTGTGGGCTTCCTGCCCTGGCCATGCATTGACCCTCGCAACTGTCTGTGGACCACTATACAGTGCATACATGACGAGGTAGAGCTTAGCAATACACCACATATCCCATGACCGTGAAGCACACAAAAACGCACTCTGGAAAGAGATATGCATATGATACGCCAGAAAACGTCGTGCCGATATCGAATCCTAGTATAATTTTATGCTTGCCCGACCACGGTTCTGCTGCGAAAGCCTTCACCATGTTGATTTCTTGGGTCTTTTTTGAAGCGCTAGGGCAGTGAGAAGGCGTGAAGAGGGCAAATTGGTTCTTACTCAAGTTGGTTTTACATAGCCTCCTTCCATTCTTCCGCTTCCAGAATTCATTTAGGTATCCCAAATTCCAAATCAGGCAAGTGATCGTGCCTAGCTGCTTCTGGGCGCCTAAGGAATAGCCGATGGGCGCCTCTCTGAATCTCCGGTGGAAGGGAGACTCAGTCCCCGTCAGTGTTTCGATGTCTGAAGGCGTAAAATCTGAATGGACCGTTGAACATGAATAGTTCTCCAATGCTGCTCGTCCTGACTCTCCAAGTAGTATCGGGCTATCAACAACCCCCCTGCAGAGCTTGATAACAATATCAAGTTGCTCCTCCGAATCTAGGACATGCTCATTTCCGATAAATGAACAGGTTGGGTTTCCCTACTTCTTTGCAGCAATTTTATTTCGTTAAGAACAACTCCATGTACAAACCGATGTCTTGCTTGATCATCGCACCATCGACCTCGTACAGCATGCAACAGCTTCTCAACGATATAATGCTCCGGATGACTTGCGAGGATCCGCATGTCGGTGCAACGAGAACGAAATGCTCTTCGCGTCTCGCTTCTCACATTCGTCTAGCCCATCGATAATGATCAGAGTAGTTCTGCCCTCAAAACGCTTTGGATGGCTGAATGAATAGATCGGAGGCATGGGTGTACAGAGATCCATGTGGAAGTGTACTGTCTTCTTTCAGAGTGTCCGCAAAAGCGTGCTTGAACCTACTCTGTTTGTGACGGAAATCCCGAGCAATCCAGGTTTGGCATGCGAACGGTTATCATGCCGCTTTATCCTTGTCGTGTCGCTCAGCGATGATCTGAGCAATGGCTGCCGTGGCAGGGTCCGATTTATCGTAGAATGTTCGCCTTCCTGACAAAGCTCGGCTGACCACTTCGTGAATTGTCGAAGCCAGAACCAGGTACCCAGGGAAGTACACTACGCCGAGCGTAGCACTTCCATGGTGAGGCAAGATCACCTAGTCACCTGGCACATCGACAAGCCGCGCTGAGGTGCCAATGATTTCTTCCAGCTCCGCTAATACACGAAGTTCCCTCATCGGGATGGTCGTGCTTCTAGTGTGATTGAAGGATGGCCATCAGAAATCGTCGATGCGTCACTGCATTAGAATGAATGAAGCGTTTAATACGCGCGCGTCGTTTGTGACCACCGGCATAGAGCCGTCAGCTGGCCACTCACCTCCAAGAAGAGGTCAATCTGCAGCATAGATACGAAAGTTCACTGTGAGTCCCCTCCAGTCTTCCTTAAGGCTTCGTTCGGTATGAAGAAACAGGTTTCTTTGGTCTATTTCTTCCTGTTTCTTTAGGTAGAAAAAAATGGGTAAATATTGAATTGAAAAACTGGAAGAAACAGGCTAAGGAAACCTGTTACCGAACGAAGCCTAAATGTCACGAAAGACGCTTTGACAGCAGGCATCATTCACAAGAACTCGGCGTGTATAACGGGCAACACTGACATCCTGCTGGATGTCGCCTGTGCAAGGGTCTGAAGTACGATATCATTCCTCCGGGTAGCGGAGGCCCCCCTCGAGGCGGGTGCAACCACATGGCAAGCACCTGGATTGCTAACAGCGATATTGTTGTTATATAGCTCTCAGCGGGGACTCGGATAACGACACGTTGATATTGTAACCGCACAGCGGTATAAGTAGTTAAGGTAATAACAGATATCAGACAAGAATAATAAGGGAATGAGATACGCGCAAGCGCTACATGCGGAACGCCGGGAATTAAAAAAATACTGACGATTAGATCTTAGATTATGGTATCTATCTTGTAATCTACTATCCGATTTAGTTAACTTCAAGCATATCTTGAATGGACCGGTGTGAGCGTGAATATTCCATGTCCTGTAATGCCCTCGTTGATGCCATTCGAATGTAGTGAGAGACGCGCAGGAGCCAGGCTCAACTTGAACTCATCCCGAATTCGCTGATGTAGACGCTCGCAATATATGTGATGCGTATTCCGCTGTTTACATGTACACAATCGTTATTTAAATCATCTACTGGGGCCACGGCGAATATTTCCTACTGAAAAACTGTCACGGAGGCCCCGGTCTCAAACTTGAATCGAAGCTTCAAGCAAATTAGAGTATTTGACTGCGCGCTGGGACACACCAAAGTTAAGGACAATCAGAAAAGTTGACCATGGACAAACATGACAAGTACTTGAACATTCACGATGTGCACCGGCAGAATCATTTCCGTAGTACGGCTCTTTCTTCCCATGTGCGTAGAGTATAAATACAAGCACGCATAACACTGGTGATACGACCAAGATCAGAGGATAGAGTTTTTGTGATTCCGGAAGAAAGTATCTGCATGGAATGCCCTCATCCGGCGGAAAGACGTCCCCTGCAATGGACCAATGACCGCTATATCATGCCATTCACTGTGATTTTCGAACTTACACACTTGACGATCGGTGCCACACGCCGGCAATATTTCCCCATCCATCAAATTCTTTGAAGGATGATCGCTCACTGTACACAGATTCTTGAATCATACGGCACATATATATGCAATGCTCCCATGCTGGAGGCGGCAAGCTCGCGCGATCGGGGTCGTGACATGCCAAATAACCACACAATCAGACACTGCTTTAGATTTGCGAAAGATGTTCATTGAGAAAAACGGCGGAAATTGGATGGGAGTCGAAACTCACGTAGAGTCATTTACAGTGGTAGTCGAACATCTGTCTGTGTCTCTTAAAATCCTCTCTCTCCAAAGCTCCGATGAGCAGAATATACTCGCAGTTGATACCAGACCTTTGTTCCCTCAGAGATTCAACAATCCGCTTCACGAATGGCTCGAAGAACGCCTTCATGGTTGTCCTTCGAGTGATATTTTTGTCAGCCGTGATGACCGTATGCTCGCCTCCGTCCCGTTCTGATGCATATGGCTCGATGAGCTACATTTGGGTTTGTCAGCACCAGTAAATTGCCGAGTTCGCCGCATTTGTTCTGCTGAGAAAGAGCTTAGACATCGCAACAGTCGCAAGAACTTTCCGTGGAGAGCCATTACATGTATTACTGGTACATGGAAAGCAGTGACTCATCATGACGTGTCCAATCTTTCAAAGCGAAGTGCATGAGTATTGCAGTAAGGCCCAACAAGAATGAAAATCCCAAGTGAATAGGGGAGGGGGAAAGCAACGGTCTACATAAAGGAGTCCGGTATGAGAGAAGCCTGGCCACGCTTTGTTTCCCCCTATGCGGACATCAACATTCAGCACTCATAAGCGACGGGAAGAACACGGGGGACTTACGTTCTCCGTCCACTCCAAATAGGCACGAAGTTCCGTGTCTCCAAATTCAATGACCACATTATAATCGAGGAGCCAATACTTCCCTCCTTGCTCTCGCGAGATCTTCTCTACCAAGCCACCTCTTAGATTGCTCAAATCTGCAGTGATCTCGCAGACACATTCAATTCCATACTCGGGCTTCCCTACACAAATGGTCAGTGAGATGGAGACACAGATCGTGTGAACGCTTACCGTCTGGATCCAAGGCCCAATAGGGCCCTTCTTCATCTGATAGGGTAAAGGCATAGATTCTTTCCGAGAATGTCCCGAGTGAAGGATTTGAGGTGTGATAAACGTTGTACATGTTTTCTGATACGCCATCCTCAGCCATAATAACGTCGCCCTACAAAAATTCAATACATGCATGTCTCATAACGAAAGAAGACTCACTCTTTCAACCATGGGATACCATTTATTGCTCATCCACTTCACGCCATCCCGTCCAATCACCCAATCTCTTGATCTGTGCTCTGGAACGTTCTCATCGTACGGTATTCCCCCTACTATCCCAAATTGGAATCTGCATGCTCTAGCTTTGACCGTTTGTGTAGCGTGATATATTACAGCTCCGTCTGAAACAGCTTTCGCGCTTTGCCAGACCAGCATCTAGTTCAGCTCAAGGACTTGCATTAATTCGACCATGTACGTACGTAGCGTCGTTCGCCGTCATGACCTTGCATCTCCCCCGTCCACCTTCAAACCTGCTGCGTAAAACTTCGCGTAGGTAAGGGCTCTCACCGAAACCCCCTACAAGCAGAACGTGCTCCGTGACAAGGCCAGACATTTGTTCTTCCACCGCCCGAACAATTTGAGTAACGAATGGATCAAAACAACGATGGAAAACATCCCTAGAGTTAATTATCTGATGAACCACTCCTTAGCTAACAGAGGCAGAAAAAACCTTACCCATCTATGGTCATTCTTCCCCGGCGTATACCCTTCTGCTCATCCGTGTATCTTCCAGCTCCGATGTCAATGGCGTACTTTGATCCTTCAGCACCGCAATATGCCCTCTTAGCACTCCCTTCAAAATCACTTAACCCACGCTTCACAAAGTCTTCCACATCATCCTCCGTGAGAGTAGCCTTCCCCGATGGCCCAGTTTTGTTCAACTGTTCTCTCAGATACTTCTCGAATGCGCTATCCACGAAAATCGCACCAGCTTGTACGCCTAGAAGCGATGTATGAACAGAGAATTATATTCCGAGAAAATGGCACTCACAGTCTGAGGCCTTTGCCTCTTCTAGCTCGAGCATTGGGTAACTAGACTTGACAATGTAAGAGGTGGTGTCAACAGTTGATCCACCTAATACGATATATACAATTGTCGCGTTGAAGAAGCAGAAGCAGAAGGCGCTATGAAACACTTGCCTGCGTCACAGACCACAATCTTCGTCCCAGCCTACAAAAAATCCCGACGTTGTCAGATGAATGTCGACGAGGAAGGTACACACCACGTCTCACGTTTAGCAACGGCCCGAGGTTTGCATTGTACATACAGAAATGCACAGAGGCTTCTCCTTCACTGACAAATCGTATTCGTAATGCCGCCTGGGCCTCGTCCTCCACATAGCCGGCTCGGATCGCCGCTTTCCGCAAGAAAGCTTGTTGGCTAAGACCCCATCCGTTTGGGTGTGCAAGAACGAATTCGACAGCCTTGGTTGAGGCCAATTGGTCCCAAACTCGCGTCCCATCGACTACTCGGCTTTTGAAAGCCGAGATCGTGTGGGATAGAAGGTAAGCAAGGAAATCAGTGTAAATCTTCAAAAGTTGTACCCCTTCAGGTAACGCTGAAATAAAAGTGTATTTCAGTGAGATTCAGCCGCGGGGATCGTGCCCAATAAACACCCACGATCGAGTTGAAGCGTATGCCGAGTGATGATAGTAGTGGGATGGAGATGCAGCTTGAAGTGTTTCGCTAACTGCCACCCTTCATCAAGGGCTTGGTCCATTACATCAGGGATAAGTGTCTCTGCACCAAAGGATTGCGCCTAGAAACAAGACCATTATTCGCCATATATCCCTCCCCCCACAGAGCGAACAGAAATCTGTCGCATTGGGATAAGCACATACAACCCCATTTTGGTCGTACCAAATCATGGTTGGGATCTTGCTCGCAGTTTTATGCGCCTCCTGACCAGGCCATTCCGAAACACGAGTAACAAATCTCGATCCTCTATCCGAGAGAAGATAAATGAGTCGAACAATAGGACGAAAAGAGCAGAAACGGATAGGCGCGGTAATCTCTTGGCAGGGCAACGAGGAGGAAATTTTACGAAACAAACTTCGAGGGAACCAACGGAGACGGAGTCGCTCCTCATTCGAGGCCAAAAGGGGAACGCTTACCCTGCGAATAAGTATGCGTAAGAAACCCCACTGTGCGTCGATCCAACGTCCACCCCGATGATGATCTTGCTCTTGCCTTCCCACAAGTCATTCGACCAAGCCTTCATGGTTTAAGTAGATTGGCCAGTGGTATTTCAGCTCTCCCTGCTATACCTGTCTTCTTTCTATCCTCGAGGATTTTATTCTGCACTCCTGCAGGGGGTTAACTGAAGTGCATTCAGGCCTAGCACGGGATGCGAAGAGGCTGTGACACCATTCCCAATGGGATAAATAAAATTAGCTTACATAAAAATTGAATGTCAACCTGGATACGGAACTACGTTACGAGCGCTTCCTCGTGCCGTCGGAGCCCTCACCCTTGATCGCACCGAACCACTACACATCTATTTGAACTAGTCATAGTTGGGGATCGCATTATGTACACAAATACTGTACAAAAAAAAATTGCGCACAAGATCGTGGCAGATAAGAGCTTCAACATTATAAACGACACAGCACCTCCAGAGCAAATAACAAATGATAAAGAGAACCCGAGCCAAAGTGACCTGAGCTAAAAGACCGCTTGATTAGAATGTTGAGATTTGAGTGCGTTTCCGAGGAAAGTTATCCACTACTGGGAATTGGTGATGGAGCAGAATCAAAAGGGTGTTTCTTCTAGTGGAAATGCATTGAGCCAAGGAATCACCGGCGATACAGAGAGAGCGACTTACACTGAGAAATGGTGAAAGGAACGATACGAGGCTGCTTAGTTGGGCCAGGTCCCTTCCTCCTGGAACGATCGTACAATATCCCCAACCTGCTCGGCGCCAAATTTCGGGTACTTAAACTTGTATCCAATGATCCTCTTCAGCTTTTCGTTTGAATACGCTACGCTGTACTTGTACAGATAGTGCGTGTCAACGAAAGGGGTGAGCGGTGTTAAGGGCACTGGAGGTGACGAATTGAGGATTAGTTCCCCCCATGATTCCATGTGTTCATCATTTGTCTCGTTCGCAATGTCCTGCAGGTCCTTTTTCTGCAGAACATAACAAGTCATCATCCTGGTGCCATAACCTATTCGCCAGCTTCATCTCCAACTTACGATGGACATTGATGCATTAGTTAGCATCCCATAGAAACTGAAGTCTAATTCTAAAACTTCACTGATGGCTTCTCCGATGTCCTTTAGTGTCGTATCACCGTCGTCGACCTGCGGAGATACGATGGTCAACGGTACAACAACTGCCCATTCGACAGCAGCTTACCAAGTTGAACAGCGGCGCTTTAGGCTCGATCTTCGTATCCAGAAACGCAGCTGCCTTTTCCTCGACGTCCTTAGCCTTCGCAGGGAAGTGCTGTATCGTTTCTCCGGCGATCTCGTCGGCTTGAGCCCTACCCGTCGCGAGCATCCATTTCCCGACCTCCCACACTGCACCGGCGACGTCCCATGCATGAACTGTATTGTATCGAAGGCCAGGTGTCCATCTATAACGAGATAATGGTTGGCCAGAGCCGATCCGTAATTGCGAAATCCGGGCTTACAGGTACTTCATCTCCCATTGCCTGTACTGATACACTCGGCCGACAATGATACGGGAGTGAACTGTTACAACGGTATCAGAGGTTGCTTGGTGTACGCCTGTATTGAAGCAATCATGCGCACATACCTGTACCAAACGTCTGTTGAGGTCCGTAGGCGGCACCAACTCTCACTATGACAAGATTAAGTCTGGATCAAGTTAGGTTAATAACCCCGGAGGGAAAACATGGGAACGAGTACCTACCCTTGGATAGCAGCCAGCGCTCTGAGGGCTTCATGCCACCAGTATCCCCTAACACTTGCGGGCTTAACGCCTTCATGTTCCTTTGTCAATCCTTTCGCCCTATCTTTCTCCTTTGAGGGTTTATCTGAAGTGGAAGTGTGGTAGAAAGGATGCGTAATCCTGACATAGGCCCCAACTTTCCGCTTCGCCGCTTCCTGACCCAGAAGCTGCGCCACTTTGGCAGTCTGCTGGAGGTGATGGTCATCTGAGCGCTCATACCGAATCTCTCCTGTGAAGTCGAAAACAATGTCCCACGAAAGTTCCGATGCACCAGAGGATGGTGGCTCGAATACAGACGAGACAATGTTAGGTATCGCCAAATTTGCTTGACGATATTCGATTATTGGATTGTCAAACACAGCTCGAACGCGCGACCCTAGATAGCTGACAGATGCAAGGAGGTTGGAGGCATAGGCGATAAAGACATAGAAATCAAGTGAGTATGCGCATGATTTGGCGGGCACTTCCAACGGCTTTGAAACAAGTAACATACGTCGTAGGGGGGTTAACGAAATATTTGTCTGCTACGCGGATATACTTCGGTCGCCACGAAATCGCAGTTGAAGAACATCAGGTGGAGAGTGGAGGGCGACAGGAGATGGACAGCGTACAATACGTCAACAATGACACGGGGAATATAGCATTCATAGTAGAACACATACCGAGACGAGGAGATCGGGTTTCCCCTCGGGGGCAACGAGGTATCGAAGTAACTGGCCTGAACAAACATTTAGGCCTCCTGGAGAAACAAGACAAGTCGGAATGTATGAGACGACAAAGAAGAAAGGTCAAAGCTCATCGATGAGCTTTCTGGCGACAAAATAAGAGAATTGGAATATTCGCACCAAGCACGAGAACGCGCGGCTTTTGTGACATCGGCAGAAAACGAGTGCTTGGAAATGACGGGTTGGTACGACAATGGTTGGGAAGGCCAGGCGATGGGGCACCGTGAAGCAGGAAACGCTGAGCTTTTTATGAGCCCCGTCACTCGGACAACAGCGAAGGCTCAATACAAATACAAATTATATTGCGGGAAATTCAAAGGAATGTGTTAAATATTACTGACACGGAAGAAGCTGGCAAACGTGTTCAATCTGCGCTGTCACCGCGCACACATCTCGGTACAACTTGGGACTTTTGGACAATTTCATGTGAGCCCTAAGCGTGAGAAACTTGACCTTCCGCCGTTGAACAAATAGCGCATCCGTGAACTGAGATGGTCAACAAAATTGAGAAACGTCCGCACTGTCAACTGGCGTCGTCGACGAAAGCCAAACCCTAAGGGTGCAGATATCAAATTGTGTGAGATGGAATTCCCATGTGCTGTTCACAGGTTGGATGCATCCAATATGTCCAACAATAAAAGAGCTCTTCAACTCTGTTGAAGCACGCATATATAATCACGAGACGTTCAACAAATAATGATGATGAATGTCCGAGGAGATAACGACGAGTCAGGGCAGGCAATTTCGTGAAGATTATCTCTGTCGTCTTTCTGATTCTCAGGGATTATTCGTGGCTGATTCCGCCACACACGATATTATCGACCGCGGGGCCCGGAATATCCAATCCTGATTCTAGCACAACGAATTTTCGGTAATGCTTTTCCAAATGTATCAACCTGCTGTGTTTGGCACACGGCAGATCACAAGCGGATCAGCAAGCACACTCACGAAATGGAACAGGGGGGCAGTTGCCATGAACCCTGGGAATACATCGGCCCGCGATTGCGCTAGCGACCCCGTCCGTGGTTCACTTGACTTGCGCGAGAGAATCTGGTTCTTCAGAATGACTGAACAGAAAGCGAGATGTTCATAACCCCATCTTCTCGGACTTCCGAGAGGACCTCCTGCTTCAATTGGCCTCCATAAGCTCCATGCGCGGTAAGGTCAAAAACCGGATAACAAGCATTTGGGGTAGGGCCCGTTCAAGTTAAAAGACCACCCAAATAGTTTTTAGAGGTGTCCATCATAGGCAGGAGTCTAATCAAATCTTCTTTCAGTTCGCTTCGTTTAGTTGAGCCCAAAGGTCAGGGGGATCATAGAAAACACTTAATCCCAAAAAGGTGTTGATCGGAACTTCCCAGCGTTGTCGAAGGAGACCGAGGCAGCAGAGTTGGGCACGCGTAACCGATCAACAACGCTTGACCCGAAAGTTCTCGCTGCCAAGTGACACTGCACAGAGACAACCAAGGGAGTTGAAAGATTCCGGAAGGGTGATTAAGTATCTGTTGTACCTGCCTATTGCCAAGGCCCCAATAAATACCCAGGCAAAGGTCCCTACAAGTAAGAGGGTGCACTTTATCAAATCAACATGGGATCTGCAGAACGATAAGATATCGGTGGGCGCTGTTTCTCAAGGCACCATAGCTACATTATTTCACAAAAGGATCAGAGCACGTCCATTCCAAGAGAAGCTGATTACCTGCATGCAGAGCACAGTGGTCTCCTTTCGACCATGTTAATCCGCGCCAGAATCCGAACAGAATTTGTCAGACGAGGCTGCGACACGGTCGCACCGGATGGGTTTACTGTGCAACAGAACTAGTAGGGGGCGCGCGCTGTGAGGTTTGAGGGACGGATGCCATCCACACGGTGCCGAACTTGATAACAGATATTGCTCCAGAAAAGATCGGTGACCGGGAGAGGAAATTGCACCCCGACCTTATTCGGGTATGACGCTTCTAGGGAACAATGAAAATCCTAAGCCACTCCTGGTGGTTCTTAGCTCTGTAGCTACACCCTGAATCAGCCTCGTGGGAACAGTACTGGTGCAAAGTGCTCCCAAGGTCACGCGTGGGCATTTCTCGCTCGTCCCATTCGATTTGCTTTCCCAAAGGTCAGCCCACTGAGAAGCGAAAAAGTTGCTTGTATCGTGGGGTTTTGTAGGCCTGCGTCATTAAGAACTCACCATGTCGGTTACCCGAATCGGCTTCATTGGCTTAGGCCAAATGGGCCTGGAGATGGCTCAGAATCTTGTGAGTGGAAGAACTTGATATTATGATGACTTATTGATTTTGCTGCCATTTGATAACATCAATAGTTCTTGAAAATATCAAAATCATCAGTCTCAGGAAACGCTTTTGTCGTCTGCGACCCTAGTCCGAAAAGCGTAGAAAGAATTTCTGCGTTTTGTAAGGAGAATATACCTGGGCATCGCCTAGATGTAGAGCCTAACCCTCTTGAGTGCGTATGGTAAGTTCACAATGAGGGCATCATGTCTGATGACGGGCGTCTGCATCAGAGTTACGAAAAAAGCAGATGCCATCTTTACAATGCTACCTTCAACACCACAAGTCAAAGCCGTTTACCTTGGGGAGTCTGGCGTACTTCAGGCACTCAACTCGCTCCGTTCTTCTCACGCCTCCCGATCTCCTCGTCTTTTTGTCGACTCCACTACGTTAGATGTCCAGTTTGCAAGAGAGACAGCGAAGCAGATTACAGATGCTGGTGCTCAAATGGTTGATGCGCCGGTCTCAGGAGGGGTTGTTGGCGCTCGTGCTGGGACATTAACGTTCATGGTTGGCGGCCCGAAAGTGGCATTTGAACGATCGCGTCCGTTTTTAGACATGATGAGTTCTAGGGCAATCCACTGCGGACAGTCAGGGACTGGTCTCATCGCAAAGCTGTGTAATAATCATATCCTGGTTGGCTTATTATTTGTTTTTTTTGTTGCTAGATCCAACCTCTGATCCGATAATTATCTCATCATTCGGGTAACGCAGGGAATCAATCAGGCGGCAATAGCTGAGGGAATGTTATTGGGTCTCTCATTAGGGTTAGAGCCAAGTCTTTTGGCTTCTATCATCAACAGCTCCACAGGTCGGCTTCGCAACCTAGCCTTAAGCTAGCCTCTCATTTGTCTCGGCTAGCACGTTCTTGGTCATCTGAAGTCAATAATCCCGTTCAGGGCGCATTGAAGGACAAGTCTCCACCTTGCGAACGGGGCTATTTGGATGGTTTCGCTAGCAAGCTAATGCTCAAGGTGTGATATATTTAGACCTCTCGAAGAAGCGACGCCATAATGCCTTGCACTTGCATCGTAGGATATGCTGCTGGCATCCGATGCAGCAAAACCGGTCAATGTTCCTCTGCCTGTTGGCGAGCGCGCTCTCAAGCTGTACGAAGAGATGATTCACGCCGACGACCACGGAACCACATGGTCTCACAATGGTGCTCTACTTCCCCGAAAGGACAGCGATTTTTCCATCGTGTATGACTACTTGATGCAACTTCAAGTCCCGTTACGACATCCATAATGAACCCTCCCTGATACACCTGACGGAATGATTGAGCTTCCACTATGACGAGGTCTCTTGTACAGCACTTGAATAAATGCGCCAATTTCTTATTCGACACTTGCACGTTGATATCTATTTGGTGCCAAGCACGAGCGATTCCAACTCAGAGCTACCGATATGGGAGTATTGCTTAAGACGAACCCCGTTTTTTGGGGGGGAGGACCATACTGTGTCCTGAAGAGATTGGGGCATCATTTACCGTAACCATAGCATGACAACCGCTCCACCTTACTATTTTTCTTCACGGAAGCTTCAGACGTTTCCCTTCCCCGTGATATCATTGGTGTCGCACACCCGATCAAACCCGTCTTGGAAGGCCGAGACTGCTTCAGACGTTGGTACTATGGTAGTACCTTGAAGACGCGGATTGAACCAGGTGCAGAATATGACTGATGGATCGACAATGGTGCCGTTAACAGAATTATGCTGTGGATTGATTGAACAAACGTTCAAGACCAAACACCTGCCCATCTCCCACCGTCCGGCGACATGCCCATGCCTAGCAACATTCGCGTATCCGAGACAAGCCAACCAGAGTCGTCCATCACCCAGTCAGCCTCGGCTCATCAACCTGTCGCACCGTTTAGTGCAAACAGAGACCCTGATGTCTCAAGGTATGTTAGATTACTGTAAATCTATCGCCTGGCTTCAAGCGCCATAATTCCTTATGTGCGTATTGTTTGACGTTCATTCAACGCCCAGCTCGGCAGGTTACCCGCCTCTATTGAATCGTCCGCCTTCCTTCCTCCTTTGTCTATTTTTAGCTTTACTCATGGGCCTGAATTCCATCGGAACAGCCCTCTATGGTCCAAAGAATGGAGTTCTGGTGTAGTCCTTCTAGTTGTGAAAGACGCCAATCGACTCAAATGGGAACTACATGGCGACCCCCGTGGCCCTGGAATAGGGGCGTTTCCGCACTTTCCTCACTCCTAGCTCTAACAGAGCGCTCGTGCTCCAGAGCTGCCCTACCCTTTGCACTGCCTTGGTGATCAGTATCAGAGCAAGATGTCCTGCCCTTCTCCCGATCCTGAAACGGACCTGAATCCAATAGTATTTGGAAATCGGGCATCTGCATGGCTCGTTCCACCTGGTGTTACGTCAGTGGCCACTGAGGGTGGAGCTGGTCACTTAATGCCATGTCACGGTTCAAGGGCCAAAGTGAGCATCATGGACTCTCCGGCCTGTTACTCGCGAGGGTTGTTCCTCCACTTTCAAGCAAGCCATCCCGTCTTGCCGCTTGGGTTGCGGTCTGCTACAACAAAGAAACGGTAGTCGAAGATGTGAATGCAGTGCTACGGAAGGTCAGCGACAGGTTGCGCTGTTTCAGATCAGTCGGTATGCCCATACGGGATTCCGAACGTGTCTGCACCTTCGATGGACTGCCAAATCAATGGCAGATTTCCAACACGACTGCGGGGATTTCTTGGGTTACTGTGAAAAAGCTAGTGGTTGGAAAGGTAGGCGCATCTACCACCTCTCTTGGATGCTAAGCCCCACGATACAATTGTGCATTACAGCCTATCCGCATCGAATCTACTGGTATACGCACTGTTGGTGAAATGAAAGATGCGATTAAACTCGAGTGGGGGATCCCAGCTGACCAACAATTTCGTCTCGTACTTACAGGGAAACACCTGCAAGAGGGAAGGCTCCTGTCGGATTACAACGTCCAATTGGAGAGTACCCTGGTGCTGATCCTGCGATTACGCGGAGGAGGAATGTTCCCCTTTGTTTCTATCGAAAATGGGAGTTCAATTCTTGATTATGATCGATCAGTGAGTATATTTCACTATCCGGAAGCTGCTAATGCATAAGGATGAAGGCACCTATATGGCGGATTGTTCAGCCTGGACTCAACCTGCAGGGAACATGCAATACTACTCGATGCCCAGCGTACAACAAGTAAGCTTTTGACATACTCTTGTGATAAGAGGTTGACAATGGCTTGTATAGGGTTACCTATGTTCCAATGGGTATTGGCATTTTCAAACTCCATACTCTTGACCAGAGCGACACACACGGACGTCTCCTGAGCCGTTGCCCTGTATGCCTTTCTGACTCGGAAATGGCTGGGATGGGCTTCATGGAATGTATGTGGAGTGCCTGGGGTGGTAAAGTGGGTGTGGACCCCTTGCTTTCTTGGCAGCATCTTCTCCATTATAACTTGTCAAATATCCACATGGAATTCTGGATGTCAGATTTCGCCGACAGGATCGATCGACTTTTTTAAGAAGCAGGATCAACTAGTCAAGCCGGAGGACAAGTCCCCGGTATTCTGCATTACTCTCTGCTCATTATCGCTTCCATACCAACTGTTCATATTCAGTTCTTCTCGCCAGGGAAGAAACCTACAACACTTTTTTCATCAAGACAGAGGTCCTGTATGAACCTATCTGCATTTTCTGTGATCGCGGTGTCACGGCCAACGAACAGAATGCCTTATCCTGCGGACATGGTCCAGCCTGTCCAGGTTGTTTTTCGCGACGCAAAATTCAGTCTAATGAGGACTGTCCCCACTGTCACCCGCCACCTGCCTACACACTGCTCTATGTAGAGGCGGATCGAAGACTCTCCAACCGAGGGCTTCGCCGTGTACACAGTGATCTCGCTGTGCATCGCTTCTCAGACGGGATACGGGACAGAACAGGCCGATGCCGCCCCCAAATGTATCCGACCCTTCCCGTATAATTCTAGTTGGTAATCCATGAGGAATTGTGAGGCACTTCTGCAAATCTTGTCTATTGCATGACGTGGGCTGGCCTGAGTTAACTTTTACACAACTATGGGATGAGATCACCGAAATCGAGCACAGACACATGTTGATGGTTCAGTTCCGGACTGAAACTCCCAAATAAGTGCATGGGAAACGTCACACAGCAGTCTAGTTGTCATACATTATAGCATTAGCTAGATATCCCCGGTTTTCCAATTGTTCCCATGACGTTAGGGAACTCCCGTTTGGCTCTCACAACCCTCAACGATACAATCGCCTAATTTGAACACCACAAAAGACAAGAGCGGCGGAAAAGATGAAGAACACGTTTCCTTGTCCGCTCTCCGCGTCTGTGTCTCCTGATGAGCTCCGACCTGCTAGCCAGTCCTTGAGGGGAAGGAACGCCACTCCAATGAGGAAGTTTGCAATCCCTACATTAAGCGATCAGTCATGAGTAGCATGAGGGAAAGGATCTCGCAGAAAGGACATACAGTTCAGGGATAGACCGAATGAAGCCAGAGCGGAGGAAGCCTGGTGAGGTCCTCAGTACACAACGTTAGCATTCAAGCGAAAAGACCCACGTAATATGGCACAAGTTCAGCCGGTAACATGAACGGGACAGGACCCAGCCCGAATGCAAATCCCCTGATGTAAAAGCACGCCGTGAGAAGTGCATTCACTCATGAAGGAAAGTTTTTACGAACCCGACGAAGATGCAAATTGCAACACTGCTTAACGATATGAGATTTGCGTTAAGTCCGTAGCCAAGGGCCATGATTGAAAGTACTGATCCCCAGGTCGAGATCAGCAAGAGGTCCCGCGGTGAATAAAACTGAGTTTGGTGGCAAACGTTAATTGAAAAGGGGGGGATTGATCAAAAACGTCGAATGGATGGCAAATGAATGAAGCTGAGCGTACTCCGATTACAATGACGGGTATGACAGTGCAGAGGACGTTCATGATGGAAATCAGTAATGAGATGATAGCGGCATCCGTTGGTAAGGCTTTTCCAAGAATGCTGGTACTATAATATATGACTTCAACATTCATTCATGTTAGACCTGAACGGGAGACATGAGAAAGGTAACCGCCAACGTACCAGCATTGATACCGCTCCCTTGCTGGGCGATCATTGAGAGTGCAACAATCGCAACAGGTCGACGAAGTTCTTTCCTCTTAAGTAACTCGAGCACAGTTATTGGCTCAGTGGGGCCAATGGTGCTGGAAGTTTCACGGGGATCGTGCCTGGGAACACCCCCACCATCAGCCTCATCTTCACTTAGCAATCCTTGTTGCTCCGCATCATCGCGAAGGATCCTTGCAGAGTCGTCGCGGGTGCGACTGCTATTCCTCGACCAATGCGGAGTCGAGGATGAGGAGGCTGGGGGTGTGGGAGATGGGCCTGGCTCGACATAATTTGGTCCCCAAAGTTTGCGCGATACTTCCACTGCTTGTATGTCTCGTCCTTTTGCAGCTAACCATGCTGGAGTGTCGGAAATGAAGACAACAGCAAAACATTGAACTATCGCGAGGATTGCAGACACTATTAGTACGAGACGCCAATGCCATAGTGACATCTTGGCTAGTGGCAACCCGATGGATTGGGTCCCAAGGATTCCAAAGGTGATGAAAAGCTGATTGAGGACGCCTGAAAGATACACTTCAGGACATTCAGGGTATGCTTTCGTGTTAGGACTGACCGACGCGATTCCTGATCCTTGGAGGGGCTGTTTCAGCTAGATATATGGGTAGCGCACAAAGACCAATGCCCGCGCCAAATCCAATGATCAATCTTTGGCACCAAATCCGATTGAGCTCGGTGCTCGCGTCCAGAGGTTTTTGAATTACCTTGCAATAATAAATCCCGTAGCACCTCCAGAGATGGCGAAGATTGTGCTGCCAATAGCAATGATGAACGCATTAACGAGCAGTGCCCCCCTCCGGCCCAGGCAATCCATTATCAGGTTTGCCGACAAACTGCCCAACAGTCCCCCTAATGTAAAGAAGGCCGTTATGACACCAAATAAGGCATCGGATATTGGGACGCAAGATGGGATCGAAGATGGTACTGAAATGGACTCAGGCGGGTGACATGTTAGGGTAGATTGGATTTGGTTCAGGGCAGAAGTGTGGTAGCCATACTGAGTGGTAATCGACATTAGTGGTGGACATGGACGAGCTGTATACGGGGACCTACTTGGAACGGAGAGAGAAGTGCCCACAATGTGGCAGCGCAATAATAGAAGGTTATTCGTTCCATCTCCAAGTGGAGCGGTCTCAGCCAGTTTAAGGGTCCCTTTCCCACATGACTCACGAATCTCAATTAAATTTTGTATATGAGCAAACGACTAGCATCCTTTAGTGGCCCATCTTCCCCCTCCCCAAACCCGGTGAGACCTCAACCCAATGCCACCCCTACTAGTCCGTCTTCAAGTTCTCGCGGGAATCGGCAACAATCCTCTTCCAATCCTCCCCAATCTCCTCGTCATGGAACGCCGCAGAAGCCTCAGAATCAATCCGATAACAATGTCCCAAATGAAACGACATATCATCGCAAACTGCGAAGCATTCTACTCGAAATCAAAGCTACTACCATAACTTGGGATGAGATTGTTCTGTACGATGGGCTGAATGCTGCGAAAGGTCTTGTTGATGCTAGGACCGAGCTCTCGTGTGTGTCCATGTCTTCCACTGCTTGCGAAGATGAGAAATAACTCCATGTAGCAATGCTCTGGCCGTGTATCCTCCAGAGACTTCCCCTAAGGTGGCCATCGCCACCCCCAGGCTGCTCATCATGGAGGAGAAGCTAAGGGAACTAGGTGAAGTTATCTTGAAACTTGTACGCCACTCCCTCTCATATAGACTTCCCTAACTACTTCCCCTAGGAGAAATGTTTTACTAAGCTATCAAACCTCTGCGAGAATGTTGAAGAGCTGGCGGTAGAAGCTTCGCGCCTAAAAGGCATGAATTCGATCCACGAACCATTGTGGTTTACATGGTCTCTCAACAAATTCGGTCTGTGGTATTTCTTGGATCTTCACCAGATCCGATTTCCTCAATTCACATTTTTAGCTGTTTCGATACCATTACTCCTCATCCCCCACCACCGCTCTCTTCACAAGCACAAGGAACTCTTGGAAACTCTCCGACCACACTCGACGCCATTTGACAAGGCTCGTACGTGTATTCATCTGTGGGCCGCACAGGAAGAGCTCAATGATGGAGGATGGATGGACGAGTGGGAGGATATATGCAGGGCTGAAGTGAGATGGTGGCCAGATGGAATGTTGCCCGTGCGGTCGCGAATCGAACCGTGATCTGATTGCAGTAGCTGAAGCACCCTTGGCTAGGTAAATGACTTGTGATCCTACAGGCTATGAACCCCAAAATATCAGTACACGATTGCCGATGCTCAGGCCCCAAACGCATTGGCGGAGTCACCCAGAGTCCGTAGCGAATTATTCGGACGGTTTACGCTTGATCTCGTCATTCCACAGCATTGGCATCTGTAAGGCTGTCAATGTTTACATGAGCTCTCACGATTGCATAAACAGATCTTTCGTGGTTTGGCATTCTTCAGGTTGTATACACTGCGATGGAGGCTTTGGTTTATATGCATGCGTGAGGGTGGCTCAAGTGTTAGGCGACTCTTGTAAAACGTACAAATTTTTAAATGGTTGAGCGGATATTGGAATTAAGGATAACATCTCTCCTTCAGATCTCTCCGGTAATTCAGGAGGGCTAACGCTGGGGGGCGCTTTCTCAGATCTGGGTTCCCTTCTTCCAGTTCTCCATCGACATCATTTCTCTTATCCAAATCGCACCCGCTGTGCCACCGCCTCCACAACGGCGAAGCCAAAATTTAAGCTCATAGATGCCTGGTTGTCAAGAGCTATGCCGCCAGCCCCTGCCCGCACACGTTGAAGCAGGGAACAGCGAATTGGGGTTGACCCCCTTGTTATACTGAGCCATGTTGAGTAACATGCATTCCATGCACCATTTTTACAAGCTCAAGCAATGCTTAACTCTGGGTCCGTAATCCGAGTCGCTTATCGATTGTCGAAACACTGTCGCACTGTCCATGACCTCAATTGTAGTGGCCGATACCATAGCGAATACGGACGGTCTTTCAATAGGTCCCTCCAATGTGAATAATTTCACTGATGAAACGTGCACACTGGAAGACAGCGAACCCATATATGACTAGCATGGCACAATAACGCGCTTCGTGGCTGTGAGTTGATTTCCCCTTGATTTTCCTCTTGATTCTCAATAACTTATATACATGTGTATTTACTAACATTATTCTCAGGTGCAAGTGATACTTCCAAGAGGGTGAGCGTAAGGTGTCAACCCTTGCATGAGAATGACAACTCCCATATGGGTCTTCTAACGGTGATGAGAAATGAAGTCGGAGTACATTTGATGGCGTTCTAGGCCACACATTAGATGTTCGAGCCTCGAGTTCTTGCTCAGAATCACTCTCATTAAAAAGAGACCCTTCTTCGTTTGAGAAGTCAACCGACAGGGAATAGTAACATCCGTCTCGTGCGCATGCTCAAGAAGGGGAAAATGTGATAACATTCACGTCGCGGGGATCCTCGATCGATCGGGAGGGAAGATCTGTCGTACCTAAGTAGGGTACGTGCCTACCGATACGGAACGTCCACGTCGTCCTACTAGAGGCATGCAGTTCCATCTATTCCGTGTGTGCAACATCTGTTCGAGTAAGGCCGTCTACTTTAGTAGAGGCTGGGATCCTGCCTAGCAAGGTTGGAAAAGCGTAGGGCTCAGTATTGCCTGTTCTCCGCCTCATCAGTGATGAAAGCGAAAATATGTGAGCTCTCTCGTCAACATCGCCAGAACAACAGTACCTTTCAATGGGAAGCCGAGAATTCTGATATGATGTGCTGAGGAATGAGGTGGTCACTCCTAGCAATTTTATCCCCAACCACACTAGATGATACCCACCTCTGTAAATCCCAATGGTTCCCGATTAGGGAATCCATGGTCGGCCAAAGTTGTGCGAGCAAATCGAAGGGAGGTGTCACAATTCCCTTTCTCGTGCCAGTCACAATATCGATCTACTCAGCGCAGCACGGACACAAGTATGGTGCACAAGATAATCGTAGACACTGATGTAAGTTTATGCGGAGACGGGATCGGTGAAGAATTGAAAGGTTTTGTGGCAGCCTGGAGTTGATGATGTCCTTGCGATACTTCTGTTATTGTCTTCACCGGAAGTCTCCATCGAAGTGATTAGCGTCTGCTTCGGTGCGTTAGGGGGATATATTTTTGCGAATTGAGACGGACTCGAATGTCCTCATACTTTAGGCAACACTACGGTGGACAAGGCTTCCTTAAATATTCAAAAGCTATACCACGTCCTCGATCGTCACATTGCGCAGCATCCAGGAGAAAAGAACCGTTTCGCTGGCCTACAAACCACAACAAAAACGAAACTCGTCAAGGGTGCCAGTGGTCCACTTGAGGGCACTCTCGACCTTGCGGAATATTTTGTGAGTAAAGCTATCCTTGCTCCTCTTCGGCTAAATCATAATGTGACATATCAAGCATGGCCCGGATGGACTCTCTGACATCACGACCACTCACACAGAGTTTGATGCTCCTGTTGCAGTCCCCCAACATAGTCCTCTTTTGCTCTCGTCAGAACCCGCCCATGACGCGATTTTGTCCACCTTGGCGTCTGAGCCTCCATTGTCAGTCACACTCCTATCCCTGGGGCCTTGTAAGACGTGTTGCCCTTGGTTTGTCGGCCGCTGAGCTCATCAAGTTATTTGCGCAGTGACAAATGTCGCCCTTGCATTGAAAAAGGATCCACAAACATTTTCCCGAGTCAAGCGAGTCGTCACCATGGGAGGGACTTTCGAAACACCAGGCAACACATCACCTGCATCGGAGTTTAACTTCTTCGCCGATCCGTAAGTGGAATTCTCTCAGTACATTGTATTCGGTGGATTGATCATTAATTCTTCAGGTATGCCGTTGACATTGTCCTCAAATCTGCGACTCTCGGACATTTTGACTTTCTCCTCACCCCACTGGATATTACTTCGCAGCATACAATACCTTTCGGCGACCTCATCCGGCCCGATGCAGAGCAACGGACACCCAACATTCTTCGCTCTTTTATCGATCCCGTTTTATCGCGGACCAGGCGGGTCCTTACCGCATGGGGCTACACGGGAGATTTGTTTGGGATGCACGACCCTCTGGCCGCGTTTTTCGTGATTGACCATGCTGAAATCCGTGGTCTGGATCTCAAGGTGGGATGGGCTACGAAGAAACGAGAATTCATAATCGAACGAACGGGAGAGCTCACGAAAGGTATGTGTGTTGTTGATCGCCGAACGTGAGTGGATAAGGAGTATGTCATATGGGTAAAGACCGCTGATGACACAATGCAGAGGAACAGAAGAAGTAGGGACTGTACGGTCCAGAAAGGACGTTGATCTCGATGATCGTCCATCACCTGCTAAGGATGGTACTCTGAAAGGACCCAGACCGGACAGCCGGGTCCTCGATGTGTCCGTGGCCTGGAAGAGCCCAGGTCCTGATGTCTTCAAGAGGTACTTTCTTCACCGTGTCCTCGGACAATAGAATTCAGACACCGGGCTACGTCAAGCAAGCGCCACGATGCTTGGGCTCTAATGGAGAGATTAACACGCCAAGACTTGTTCCTAGTGTCTATGATGGTGATAAAATGAGGAGCAATACGATATAAGCCATTTGACAGATTTCCAAGTTAAATCTACAATTATACTGATACCATTGATGAACACATACGCTGCAAGGCTAGAATGTCAATAAGTGTGGCCAACAATGATTTTTTTTCATTCTAATCGCCACGTTGCTGGATAAAGCATGTAGGCTGCATCCCTTGACTTCCGCCTCCAGTCCCCTAATGCAAGACTGAAGGGAAGGGATGAGCGCCTATCCCGGGTGCCGATTATAACGAGCGAATAATGTATCTGAGCATTCTAGTCATTCTTGCACAAATTCTTGCCGCTAAGAAAGGAGATGACTGCTGACGAAAGGGATGGGACCCAGGTGCAAATAATTAGTGCAATGAGAGGCCACTCAATGCGACATCAGAGTAGGCGAGAAAGAAGGTATCATCTCCCAGAAAGCCCCACAAAGTCGAAAGTTGGCCATTCGACAGCATAACAATGAAAAAAAAATATTCGGCCAACTCCGCTTCAATACAATCGCATTGACCAGTTTGCTTGAAGCGATCTTGGCCTCTCAACCGCTACCGGATTTCCATTGCCTGTTCGTTCGTGGCGCTTATCTGGGAGCTTTTTTTTCTTGCACAATATAATTCATTGAGAAATTTATCGAGTGCTGACTGAAATGTCGAATTTGCCACCAAGGCCTCCAGCGTTCAGAGGAGGCGCATCCCGGACTAGCCAATCCCTTTCCCGCAGGACGGCACCTAACTCCTCGTACTCGTCTCGTGGGCGAGACAGAGGGGAAATCTACGCTTCCAATTCGTACCATGACCCATCGTCTTCACTTCCTCCACATTCTTCCAGACATTCTTCATCCTCTTCCAGGTATCCCGATCATACTTATGAGCGCGAGAGATATGACAGATACGATGGTCGCTACTATGATGGTCGGTATGAGGACAGGAGAGCTTGGGATGAAGCCTACGAGCGCCGAGACAGAACGCCGTATCAAGATGCTCTTGAGAGGGAAAACTATGGTAGACTCGAACGATATCCGGATCATTATCCTAGAAGAGATCCTCACGGTCTGTTTGTACCCCTTTTCGAGCTCACTCGATGGTGCTTAGGTCGCTCTATGTTTTGACAGGGTATCCACAAGACTCGTATTCTCGCACCTTCCGTCACCACCGAGACACATATACGAGCCAACACAGCATGTCTAGACGAGGAAATTATCCCTCGGGAAGGGATGCCGGACGTCCATCCCGCTCACATTACTCTCCTTCGCCCTCACGTTCACAGGATGGGAGTCATCGCCAGTCAACTACTTCACATGGCGGAGGGACGTACGAGTCGAGTGGCCCGAGGGCGGAACAACCCGTCTCTCCAGGGTCAAGACTAAATGAAGAAGCAAATCGTAGATCGTCTCCTAGCTCGGGGGAATGGAGCAATGCACGGAAGAGCGGAGAAGAACGGGGAAGGTCGGTGGGTGGGGCTATTGGGAACAGACTGGATGGTGTGTCTACTGGTGATCCTAGGATGCGTTCAAGATCAAGGTCGCCTTCACACAGATCATCTCCACCTGTGAAAATCAGGCGTCCTCCCAGAACTCACCCGCTCAATCCCACCCAGATATCCCCAAATAGCCCCACACCGACGGGTCCCAAGGATATTACCGCCATCGCACCTCCGATGTCCCCGCCTACAACAACGCTACCCGTTGAGACTGGGGAACCTGATTTCCCAATCCCTGAGCCAACCCCCAGTCTTGAGCCAACACCGCAGGCGCAGCAGCCACCTGTCCAAACCCCCGCTCTAGGTAGCACCTCCCCTGGTCCTGTACCAAGCCAGAACGCTGCGAATACAACGGCTGCTTCGGGCGTGCAGAAGATGACGGACTCTGACCCAGGCCCAAGTTCAAAAACACCGAGCAGTGTTGTTCCGAAGGCGCCTCCAACTGAGCCGAGAAACTTTAGGTCTCAGGAAGCACTTGCGACACGCTCACAAATTCCTTCCGCCCCGGCTACTATGAGGAGAGGCCCGCCCTATATTCCTAAGTTGCGCAAACGGCCTCTTGCTGAGGATTTGGAGGAAAATGTTCGTGATTAATCTGTCCCACCGTACTCGCATGCTCATTCTATGTCATTTTCTCGTAGATCGCAAAGCATGTTGCGTCCACTACGCAGGCGTGGAAGAAAATCAACGCGAACACTCCTAATTTTCTGAGATTGCAATATGAAGGTATGGTGGCAACCGCAGAGCTCCTTGCATTGGAGGACAGGAGGAAGATCGCGGAACGCCAAAGAATCAGCCTTGAAAAGGGTATCGTGAATATCGAAGCCTTTGATGAGCTTGTCAAAGATGGTCTTATCGAGGATTTAAGTGTTCATAGTTGAATGATCTACTGCACAATTTCGTGTCACTTTTTTCGGGGTCTGAGGTGCTCTTTTTGGTCTCAAGCTGACTTCAAGGCAAGGACGTCATGGATTGAAAAACGAGCTCGGTATTGGCATTCACACATAGTTGTTTATTTCGGCATGGGGGTACACTCAATTTCCGTGTGTTTTGGATCGAAAGGTAGGGCGCAGTAGAAGCCGAGGCTCTAACGTGCATCACAGTAATTCAACACCATCGCCGGGACGTTTGAGGGAATTTGACGGACCTGCATCGTTGAAAACAGGGCGCGAGATTGTAATGCAACCTATCATTGAAGTGGGTTTGTGAATAGTCATTGATGAAAGTGCACCATGCCTGCAACCGCACACCTTGATGCACCGTTTACTCCCATCTGGTTCTTGCCGACACAAGTCTGCTTCGACGGTGTCGCGTTTCGGACTGTCCAAGATGTACTTGGCAGATGGAGATTCCTGTTGGCTGTGTCAAACCCCATTGTTCCTGTACCCCCGCAAGTAAAGGATGTACGAACGGCGACAAATGACTTCACGGTCCCTTTAGGGTTTGGGTCCTTCTTAAACTCGGGAGTATCATTCCTAACAGAATCATTGTTTTCCTTCCGCAGTGAGAACATGAATGAGGTGGGGTATGCATAGCCACATCGGTCGACAGTCTGAACCTCCTCCGGCGATCTAAAAGAGTATAGGGTCCAATAAAACTCCCAAACCAATGGGTGCCTGGTAGCGCAATTGGTTAGCGCGTCTGACTGTTACCGTGCTGACATCAGGAGGCTGTGAGTTCGAGTCTCACCCGGGCAGTTGCATTTTTGTTATGCCCTTTTGAGCCGGGGGGTAACTGCAGTTCATTCAGCTCAAGAAGTCATTGCATACTCCAGAACTCAAGGGTTTTGAGCTCTGCAGATCCAAATGCCAGGTTCAGCGTCCTTTACTAATCGTTCTCCGCTCCACACTTGTGTCAGGCTTCAATCCGTTTCTCACGCGCATGTCTGGAACATTCCTAATGTGTTTGCAATGCCTTTGAGGGAAGCACAGCTGAGCTGCCAATAAATGGCGAACTGGGAGTTGAACAGCTTGGCACGCCGGCAATATCCTCGCGGAAGACATTGGTCAGGGCTCGAGATCCTCAGCCTGGAAGGAAGCTCAGGATAGGCCTGGAGATGCCGCGTCTAGGTAGATCCTCGGCCTGTTCACCTCGCCGGACAATGGGAACAGCTGGGAATTACTGATGCATGCGCGCTTGATCAGACGGGTTCTCTTGTGGAACACACCCCTTAGCGGGGTGCCTTTCTATCCGTGTTGATGTCCGGTTTGATCTTCGTGTGGAAAAGGTTCAACTTCGCCGATCATCGCCGAACGAACCCACATATTCTACTTCGCCTACACCTTCTACTGGTCACCCGAGAGTACTTCCGCAGTCGTCTCACGTTTCCGGCTTATTCCATTCCTGGAACCCTAGCTTTGATGCTTGTGCTCATGGTGACCAGTTCCTACAGAGCAGCTCTTGTCATATTATTGGAGACACTGCTCTTGTAGCATGTCTTTAGGCGTTGTTGCTCTTCAGGTCCATCTGACTTCAATCGTCCAGCCATTGGTCAGTGTAACTCCTGATCCCTAATCTGAAATTGGACATGAGAGTCTCGGTTGGAACGATTCATTAGGATCATACTTCTGATCAAGCCACTGGGAACCCACCGCGAATAGCGAGCACATCAGAGCTCCGGCTACCCCTCCATCGGCACTGGCCCTGGGCAGAGTTTGAATAACGACGGTCCCTCCGATATGAAATCGGTGCTTTGCCTTTATCCAACCATCTCAATGCATGATCTGTACAATAACTGGCTCTCACATGCATTGCAAAATGGCGTGGATGTGCATGTGGATGGGGCGATGAAATTTGACTTGGTATCACTGGCGGACACAATTAATCCTTGGAGCCCGCCCCTGACGGCTATACTTGGGAAGGGAGGGAGATGGACTCGGTATATCCTGCGCCAACTAGTGATTCGGCGATGATTTCTCGTGTCCCTTGTTCCCGTGACTTACGCCTGAGGCATCTTACTTGTTCACTTCGATCCTGGACGCCGCTCAATATGACCATGATATTCGCGACCTCTTGTCTTACGAACAACTTGTATTATGACCCACCGGGAGAAGTGGGCGTGAATGGTTCTTAACGTCTTACAGCTTGGTACACAAGAACCCTTGATGATACTCTGGTGCCGTGCCCGAATGCTTCTGGGAAGAATATCTAATTCTTTTTTTCATCGTATCATCGTTGAAAAGCTCATCAGCAGAGCCGGAGAATGGAATAACGTATAACTGCGAGATATATAATGCTGTAGATCAGCATTATCAAGACTGTCGTTGAATACACTTAGAACAATTCCTAGCGAGCATCTTCTCAAGAAGCCCATCATCACTACCACAACGTAGTACCACAGATCATCCGTTGTATACCTGTTCTTCCAGTATTTGGGGGGAATGGCTTAGTGTGTGAGAGTTCATTCGTGAACGCCTTTAAGTACTTTTGGTCTTCAATGTTTCACTGACTATCGTGTATCAGGAAAGCCTTTGAACCCACCTCTTCTCTCACCCCCACTCAGGCGCTGCAATGGATAAGCCAACCGTCGCTAATGTTGGCGCAGAGGAGCCCGACTTTAGTGGCAAGAATCATCGTGACAGCAGTCCCAGTGTCAATGGCGCCCTCCTTGAGGGCAGTGTCGATTTAGCCGCGGCTCGACGAGCTCGTGTCAAAATCGATCTTGTTGTCCTTACGACGTCAACCGTCGTCTGTAAGCTATCTGCCGGACAGAAAATATGAGCCTTAATTTAACTAGTACCTTGTCAGACTTCCTCAACTTGATCGTGAGCTGAATCTTCCATGTACCTCGTAATACCCTTTCCGACCTATCATCTTACGCTCAAGGATAAAACGAACCTAGGTGGAGACCAAACGTGTTGTGTTTGTCCCGATTTTCGATTCTGACGACTGCTCACTCGAACAGGAAATGTTGCAAAGACAGGGCTTTTGAAAGACCTCAAAATGTCCCCGTCTCAATTTTCCATCGTTTTGAGCATCTTCTTTAGTGGGTCAGCTTCGAGCAAGGCCAATGATTACAATCGCTGACATCCAGTCCCACTAGTACCTTATCTACTTGTGGAGATGTTCTCCAACTTCTTGTTTAAGAGGATTGGAGCCCGTATATTTATACCTACCCTTGTTGTCGCATGGGGCCTGGTCGAGACATTCCAAGGTTTAAAAATGAAACTCCCGCATAGGAATCAGGTCCTGATCATCTTGACTTCCACTTGTACAAGGTTTCGTCACATCCTACCATGGATTAATTGTTTCCCGTTTATTCCTAGGGCTGACCGAAGGTATGTCCCGTTTTCAAGTTCTTACTGCCCATGGTTTACTTCCATTCCATTTCAGGGCCCCTGATTCCGGCACTCATCTTATATCTGTCGGAGTTTTATACCCGCCACGAGTTGCAGAAAAGGATAGCCATGTTCTTAAGTGCTACGAGCCTTGGGAGCGCGTTTTCTGGACTTTTGGCTTACGCTATCGTTCATCTTGACGGTAAAGGAGGTAAACCCAGCTGGAGGTGCGTTCGTTGACATGTCGCTCAACCATGCTGAAATTTGCAACATAGCTGGATTTTCTTCTTAGTTCGTCCTTCAGGTATCAAGGGGACCTCTCCCTGAATTGAGCTATTTGTTACATACAGGAAGGTATCTTTACTATCGTATTTGGTGTCGCCTCCTACTTTTGGCTACCGAGGGATATTCCGAGTGCTACCTTGATGACGGAAGAAGAAAAATTCGCATACACTCGTACAATCCAAGAAGATACGGTTTTTAACACAGTGGATGATATATTCCAGCTCTCAAGCGTGTGGTCGACTCTCACAGCGCCTCATGTCCTATTCCTATCCACTGCGGGATTCATTATTGGTGCGTTGAATGTGTGCTCCCTTGTCGTGCTACTGCGTTATCATAGGTGTTGTCCAGGTTACCTTTTCTTTGGAATAGCGTACTTGTGAGATTATTGTCATGCTGAAAACCACTGCCAGAGCAGTAGGCTGATGATAAACTAGCCTCCCGACCGTAGTGGGGAGTCTAGGCTACTCCCCCGCTAAAACTCAGCTTTATGGAGTCCCTCCATTCGCCTGCGGGTTTATTTGTGCGTTATCGCTTGCATTGTTTTGGATTTTAAACTCAGTGTCTTATTCAGCGAGCATAACGGCCGCATATTTCAGCGACAAATACCGTTGCAGGGGAAAAATTGCGATTAGCTCCAGCTTCATCACTCTGGCAGGATTCATCATGATGTATCGTTCGTACACACCACTGCCCCATGGTGAACGTGGCGTTGACTTGAAATTCCATAGAGAGCACAAATGTTCATGTGAGGTACGGCTCGCTATTCGCCCAAGCGATTGGCTTGTACATCACCGTTCCTTGTACGGTTACGTGGATCTCAAAGTAAGATCGTCGACGATTTCGGTTTTGCCAAGTTGATGAATTTCTCTCGGGCAGCAATGTCTATCCTCACTACCGCCGTGCTACAGCTCTCTCATTTGGTAATGTCCACAACATCCCTAATTAATGCCTCGGATCATTGTGCTCACTGCATCCGGGTTTCCAGCAAACATCTGCAGCAGCTCTGGAGGGATATTGGGATCGTGGATGTACCACGATGCCCCTCGTTTCCACAAAACAACGAAGCTCAACATCAGCTGCACTGTTGGTGAGGGCATAACTGTTTGGCTCTTGTCCAACAACTTGTGCTAATAACGATCGCTGATCACGCAGTATTGATCGTAGATGTATGCCTGACACTTTGCTATTTTCATTACAAGAACTTGCAGAAGGCCAAAGTGCGCAGATTACACGGTAATGGCGCAGATGACGATATTGAAGAGAAGCTGAGGCTAGGTGACAGACACCGAGACTTCATATATACTCTGTGACCTTGGTCTGGTTTGTTGCGATCTTGTACATGTGTATTTTTACAATTACAATCGACAAGTACGAACAGGAAGTCCCAATGATGGCTATGACCCTCACAAAGGAGATAATTATTTGAAGTACACATATTCCTCCGATGACAGTATTATATCCGAGGCGCTTTTTTTCAGTGTTGTCACGATGTCGATCGCCGGAGAAAGTGAAATCATAAAGTCCTCCAGCTTGAGACTGGACGGATTCTCCAGTTCGCGCTAAGCATTCTCGTGAGTGGGACAGGAAGCCTGAGTGTCGACGTCCAGTGCATACTCTTCCACATCGGACACGCTCCCACCGGCCCCATATGGTTGCCAGTGCTTGGGGAAGTGTACCTCATCTTCCATGTTGTTTAAAGCCTCGCATGTGCAGTGAAGTCCAGCAAAAATTGATGATTGGGCAACCTGCCAAGACAATAGGGGGCCTCATGGTTGATTAAAGTGGAGCTAAACTGGGTTCTGAAGTGGTTCAAAATTGACCTAAATTCCACCTCAAGTGGGGCCTCAGTTTAGAGCGAGTTTAGGTCGAGTTTAGGTCATTTCAAGGGCGCTCACAGTTGGGGCGGTTCTAAAGTGCGTCCAAAGTAGCTCGGGCCTGGATCTCATAAGTCCGTTCCATTCTGTGTCACGCCATCACTATACATCCGAATGCGCTCCATTGGAGGAACAACCTCAGAGCATATTTACCTGTATTTACGTTGAACATGTTACAATTGCCATCCTGACTGAGTCAAGCCTTTGAACTGGTTCTTTTGATGAAGACTTGGGTGAATGGGAGCGTGAAGTTGGGCTAGAGCGCGATGTTGTTTATATAGGTGCAATGTACAATCCATTGGGCTAATGACAACAAAGGAAACAGTGAATGTGAAACTAGTGCCTCTCCTCCCCCTTTGTCCTTGTGTCGCATCTGCCATGACAACATGCGGCCCTCCAGCATACACTGTGAATACATGCACATCACCATCAACAATGTCAGTGTCTAAAATTAAGGATTCACTCTTGAGTTCTAGTTTGGACACTGATGACAACAGTGACAATAATAATATCCACGTCGAGCAGCAGCAGCAGCATGGTGAAGGGAACAGACAGGTGACTGAGGTAGCAAACTGTACAGCTAGTGTTAACACGGACTTACTCAGTTTTAAAGCCAAGTTTAGATGGGTGACTTTAGGTGAATTGGGGCTCCTGAGCCCCAAGTCGAGAAGGACCTAAAGTGGCAACTTTAGATCTAGTTTTGATGCACTTTTGTCACTTTAGGTTCACTTGAGAAATCTCACTTGAGATCCAGTTTAGGTGAATTTATTCAACCGTGAGCCTGTCAGGGCACACCCGCCTGACCCGGGTCCACCCGGACCCACCCGGCCACACCACACCCGCTCCCCGCTGTCCATCCCTCTCCCTCCTCCTTCCTCCCTCTCTTCCCCTTTCTTTTCCCTCTTCCTTCTCCTTTCTTTATTTCATTCTTCTCATCTTCCTCTTCCTGTTTATTTCCTTCTATCTACATGGACCACCTTCCTTTGTATCGATGTACTATTGACCCATCCGGCCCACACACCCCGGACGGCTTCCTGCTGTGCCCAGCATGCACGCATGCAGCAGACACTCTCAGGATCCCCCATGGGGACACCTGGATGCCTGTGGCTGTCTCCGAGGATGACGTGGCACTTGTCATGTGACTCAAGCCGCATGTACATAAATGTACCTGAAGTGGGAACCAAAGAAGTAACCTTCTTCTCACATTCTCCACTTCAGGTAAGTAGTATAGTTTTCCCCTTTAATAATAATAACACATTCTCCACTTCAGTCTGAGTGGCCAGGGACCATTGTCCCGGATTGGGCCTGCCAGTACGCATGCCCGCTCCACACCCCACGACGGCCTCAGTGCCGGACATTACCCCCAGGCCCTCTCGACCCCAGACGCATCCCTGACAGAGCCCCCCTAATTATTTGGCAGGATGCACTTCCAAATAAAGAAGGATTAGAAATACCTCTCGCTAGCTTTCCTTTCATCTCAAACAATCACGTCTATCATGCACTGCATCGTAGATGCTTACAGTGAAAACTGGTTTATCAGGGAAAAAGGTGATGAGAAAGTCCCTGAATTGCTCAAATTGGAAGGGTGTCCCTGATGCACGTGCCTCTGTTGCTGTCATGTTGAAAACTTCAAATTACCGAGTCAATGTTCGGAAAATCTCATAGGAGTAGTAGCATGAGGCATGGAAGAAAGGATAGGTAAAGTGAAATGGGGGGCAATGTTGTTCAGTCCGATAGCGGCTGGCTTGTGGAGGCAAACCATTCTTGTCACGAGATATCAATGGCGATGCAGCGCATGTGGCACAGGGTTATTCTCTGCCACATCACTGACACTTCTCATGCTTGGCAGGTGGCTTTCCTGCTGTCTATCGTGCCAATATAAACATGAACCAATGCCAGCGAACCTGGCTGCTTATTTAGCTCGACATGACCTTGGACGCGGGATGTGACTGGCAGGACTCCAGCCTCTATGACTTCGTAATATTATATTAGAGGATGTGACTGGCTCTGTAGATGCTTTTGGACCGTCATCTCTGGTGTCTGACCTGTCAATGTTAATTAGAACTAGGAAAGCTGTCTTGCCCTATGTATGCACTGCTGATACTGCTGATACTGCTGATACGCAATGCTGGGCATCAGCAGCGGAATCTCCCAGGGAATTTCAGCCCAACGGCTTCTCAGGCCAACTTACATGATGAACACATTCAACGTTTTGGTGATGGTATGTAAGTCAACCCATCATCAATACCAGTTGTGCAACTTGAAACTTTGTTATCTAATTGAGCTTTCCTTACCAGAGATGATGCTAGGCCCTCCAACAACGTTCACGGCTGCTTTGGGGGGAAGGTTCTTCCACAATGGCCCATAAAACGATCAGAAAATATGGAGAACATTCAGCAGAATCTCCCTAACTGAGTATGCTCCAAAGCCATTATCAGAATCGTGGAGCCTTTCATCAAAAATGGGCACCTTTGCAGCGCGTAATTGCTGCCAGCAGGATCCCCCAGACCTACATTCCTGAGGAGGGATGTATTGTTGATTGGGAACGGTGCATCCATGTATTTTTCTGGTTTGCCTTTGCTGAGCCATGTTGCTGATAGGCCACAGTACCCAAGCAGAAAAGTTGTTGCTCCGTCGCAGCTCAATGATCACGCTGGGAGATATCCTCAACATCACCCTCACCCATTTTGCTTTTGTATTTGGAACCCATTTGTGGTTAATGAGGAAGCGAAATGTATTTACCAATCGGATGGTGCATGCAGAGCAGCATCCTGGTATGCTGTCTGCCAGCTAGATCTGTGTGGGTTTCAAAGTAGGTACTCTTATCCGATGCCTGATATTTCAATCTCATAGTAGAGTGTTAGGTTTTATAGGCACCACTTCAATTCGCCCTTGTCATCGTGTGGGTCCTGTTGGTTTGTATTGTGCCAAATTTATTCATGTAGGTCTCTGTTGACAATCTATGTGGCTAGAACGCTATTGACCCTACAACCTCTACACACCCCAACCACATCGACCCAGTGGCTCGGAATCCTTTTCCCATCTTCCGGATTATATCCCATATTCACCATCACCTTCGCCATCACCTTCGATTGATGAGATTCTGCATCGCTGTTATGAGATGCTTCGGACTCATGCCATCTCATTTGAGGAAGGACAAAGGGCTTCACACTTGGCACATGCCCGGTCAGGTTCGATTGAGGGAGTGACAATGTGCCGCACATGCCATGAGATATTTACGCCAGCAAGCCTTGAGAGTCACTCGAACACATGCATGACTGCTGATAGTCCAGATACTTCGAATGGAAATGATACCAGTCTTGTTGACTAGCTGTTTGAAGTCAGTATGTCAACAAGGGCTGCAATTGCTCACACCGTCAACAGTGTGGTGGTTGATCCTTTTTCTTGGTTGTATTGTTATCGTGCTAGATAACTTTCCCATTCCTTCTTGTCGAAGATCATGTCAGTTGGCTCATATGTACATACACTGGCACGCATGCTGGGTAAATATATAGTCCACATTTGGGTCTGTCTTATCCTGAGCTTTTATATCCCTGCACTGATCAAATGATTCATTTATCTCTTATTTTGTGGTGTTCAAATTGAACAGGATGGTAACTACTCATGGTGCAATCTGACGTGGAAGGTAATGAACTACACGTGCATCCACCTGCAAATGTTCAGCATTTGTGCTGCAGATTTTGTATATATCACTATCAAGATAGTCTGATAGGAGGAATCAACACTCATGAAGTGAAATTGTAAGTGGGGATTGCAGCTGACAAATTGCCAGCATTTGCTGGCTCAGGGTTGTGTGGCATTGAGATAGCACCCTCAGCTATAGCAGTCACTTGCACTGAGGACATTGTATTAGGTTGTCGTTCTTGTCATATCCATCCCCGACCATCGACTTCCGGTCCCTCCGATCCCTCCATTCCAACTCCGCTCCTCCCTCACTAACCTCGGAGCCCCCGTATTCCGCAATCCTCTCGGCGCCCCTCGATGGTCACCACCCCCTCATTTCAATTTATTACCTATGCCTCCCTAAGTACGGAGCCCTGAAGACTTCCGGACAGCTCCGACGTCCGCTAGCGCACCCCTGCCTCTGTTGGGCAATACACTCGCCTGCCCTGCAGAGCCCACCTTCGGGCCTATCCCTCCTTTCCGTTTCTGGGTTATCGCCTGCCTTTCCGCTAACCCCGTGAACCGACTCGTCGGTAATATTCAGTCGGCTAATGGTTAAACCCCATTAGCTCCGCTCCGTTCGGCTCTGCCAATTGCGGAACCGTCTCCGCTGTAACCATATATATATCCCACTTGTACATAGGTTACGCCCCAGTAGAAAAATCAACTAGAGTTACCCCCTAGGTTCTAATTGCCAGTCAGTAAGTTAGGGCACAGACGTGTCACTAGGCACAGCGCTCTTGGCAGAAGTCGCTGAGGCCGAAGCCCTCCGTTACGGAGACATCTCCTCATCTCGAGTCTGGTCTCTGACAGTTCTTGCTGGCCTTGGAGCTTCTTCGAATCTACAAATATTGCTGGATAAAATCATTTTGTCCTGAAAAATCATGCTCACGTTTGCGACTCATACTCTTTACCAGCCGTTCTGAATCTCCTTGAACCCCATATGAAGGTCTAATGCCAAAAGCTACTTGAAGTGTTTGTTCTTGCTTGCGAGTTTGATTGAACATGTACCCAGACTGGATTCCTCCAACTAATGTCTGTGATGTCCCTGTCTGATTGATTTGATGGTGAAGTCCTTCGCTCACGTTGTCATTCCTGTCACCTGCCTCCCAAACTGTGTCTGGAATGAAGTTCTTAGCTTTGCATATGGCAGGAAAGACAAATTGTCGCCAGATTTTATCCTCCAACCAATCTGTACTGTCTTTAGTGGGTGCTCAATGGAGAAGCGACACACTACCTTTTGCTTTTTTCCCTCCTGCCTGAATTGCTTGGAATGCTTCACTGTAGTGTCTATCATGAGGAGACATCAGTGAGAGCATATGACGCTTAGTCAAAGCATCAAATTCCTTGACACCCCTTTGCCAATGGACTGCACAACCTCGAAAAATCCGGGAGAGATGGTCTAATGGGGAAAGGTCCTTAAGGAATCGATGTGGCTCATGAAGATCTCTTCGATTCTCCTGTATCCGGTGTGCACAGTAGTGAAGATACTGACCAATTCCTATGATGGCATTTAGGGATCAGGCAGTAAGATGCGATGTATAAAGGCAGTAATGACTTTACCTAGTGCTTGGCCTTCATGAAAATCAGCCATCCACATACAAATGCCAAGGGGCTCCTTGATTGAGGGAGAGTCCAAATGGCGCCATTTTAGGAACTGTCCAGTGTCCTCCTGAACTATTTCATCAATGAGGCAGAAGAGGAGGTAGTGGATGCTGGAAGTTTGACGATTCAGGAAAGCACGGCACACAATGACACCTATTTCACAGGTTAGCTGATACCCATCAAAAAAGAATTGAGAAGTCTACTTCGTCCGAAGTTCACGGTGCCATGCTGCAATTTCAAACTCATACCAATCCTTCACCCACTTGAATGCAATATCACTTTGGATATACATGCAATTGGCCAACAGATCACTCATATAGTGTGTCATACAGACGATAATGTGGTAGTGCTGCTGATCTTTGTCTGTTGGATCTGCCATGTGTCAGGGCCCGGCCTCGGACTCAGAGGCTCCCTGACCTCAACCCCCATCTGACCTGTCCTCACACTATGCGGGGCATGAGATGAGAAGAAGGGTAAAAGTCTCATCTCCCGCATGGTTGCTATATAAAGGAATGGGTCACATGCCCACAACTGTACAGCTCCTAGAGTTGTGTAGTGTGACCTGGAGGGAACATCCAGGTGGCAGTGCCCAGTAAGCGTGGGAACATTCTGGGCGAGCTGCTCGCTCAGAAAGTTCCCACGCTATCCCGTGCACGCGGATACACAACACAGAAAGGCAACAACAAGGCAACAATGAAGGAATGGAAGGAAGGGATTGGTTGGGAAGTCTGGGGCACCCTAGGGCAGGGTGCTGAACCCTGACACCATGGCTTCTTTGATATGGCGGACATACCGATTTTCAGGAGGGAAGTTTGCTTTCCTGGCACTGAAAATGGACAGCCCCTGGGCAGCGAAAAAATACACATTAGTATAACTAACCTGAGTATTAGGTCATGCCAGATATAACATACCCTCCCAGTCAGTTCCAAAGGGGAATTCTTTTTGTTTCTGTACCTTTATAAAAATCCGCAAGTGCTCATAGTTTCCCAAAGAAGGGTGGAGATCCATTAAAGTAGGGTGGGGAAGGTCTGGGAAGAATGACTTGAGTGCATATTGGACAGATGGGTAACAGGAAAATTGCCTGGGCATTGCATCTGCAAGATCTGCACCCATCCCCTTCACCAGGCTGGTGATTAGATCCCGCAATTGTGCAGGAACAGTGTGAGCAAGGGGGATCGGGTGTGTGTGAGAGCCCTGAAATGTGATTGCAACATAGGGACAATCATGAAGATTGTATGGTGTGTAAATTCACATTATACAGGTACATGTGATTTGCTTGAGCTTTCCACGACGATTATTTGGTAGATGATGGTCAACAGCTGAGTTGAATCAGATTATGTAAATACTGTAGAGACTTGTTAGACTCACTGCAATGGGTCTGGGTTGACGAGGAATTCTCAATGGTCAAGCACATAGCATCAGGTCCCCAGCCCTGGCTATTGCTCATACACTCGATTTCTTTGACAGTCTCTTCATCATCAAACCATAGGGCCTCAAAGTATTCAGCATTGACACCGACAATTACTTCTTCAAAATGACTTCGGTGCAGAGCAGAGAAGTGTTCGCACCTAGGGGATAATGAGACATCGCATCAAGTGTGAATCCTCTAAAAGATGCTCTACCTCACACAAAGGGACCCTCGGTGCAGAGGATCTTCATAATCCATCTCCAGAACCAATCGTCCACTGCAACGTGAGTTACAGTGATCCCATCCCCGCCGACTTTCAAGATTGTTGCATAGTTTCTCATTGAGCGCATCCCATTCAGTGTCAGTCATAATGGTTTCGAGATCCTGAGGTGAAGGACAGCCCATCTTTTGGAGTGCAGTATATTTCGCAAGAGTAGCTTGCTGTAAATGTTTTGCTGCTGAGGGATTTCCATAATGTAGATGATGTTCATCACAGGCCCGGGCGCTGACATCATCATGGCATGCTAAGCTATGAGGGATGGACTGTAGTTCCAAGTTACTGAATTCGCAAACTTTCATTCCTTGGCCTAGGTAAAGAAGGATCAGTGATGCGACATGTAATTTATGGGCATTAGGGCACCCACAAGTTAGATGTTGTTCCCTGCATCGAGGGTACACACCGCTCTGACCTTTCAATGCATAGCATTGAACATTTTCGTGCATGCCACAAGGGGACCCAAAGCCATATAGGAAGTTGTGCTGTGGTAAAACCGGGCTGGTGGGATCAACACGAAAAATATGGAGGATACGTTCGTTTGGTGAGTCCGTGGTTCTTGGATACTCAACAATCGCTTCAAGAGGCCAATCAATAAGATAGTTGGCATGGAGTTTCCGCGTGACTCTAGTTTCTGTATGGATAGCTGATAATTGATGACAAATATTGTTGGAGGGAAGGGGGGGACATGGCAGAGGTGGCAATGGCGATGTTGGGACATTGACTGGCCTAGGCATGGATGCTCTCTCCTCTGTATCAAGGATTTGAAAGAATTTTTCAGAGAGTTCAGTTGGGATTAAGAGGTCTCCATCATCGGCTACTTTAACATGAGGGAATTTCTCTAGGCATTCCTGAATGGGACGTGCAGAAACGAAGCTTTCCATACTATGTCATTCAGCATCATGGGGTCCTGAACTGGAAATCAAAAGCTTACGTTTCCTCAGTCACTTTAGTGTTGGTATGAATCTGTGGCTCCTCTGTCCAGATACTGGAAGACTCAGCACAACATTATATAGCAATTTGAGATGCAATCCATTGATTCATCGAAGCGCTGTGCTTCCTATGATGATAGTACAGCAATGGGATAGACCAAATTTCATGGTTTCACTTCGGCAGCTCCTGCAGCATGCAGGGGAACGGTGAGGTGGCTTGGTGGCTATACTGAAGCCAGCTGGTTTTGAAATCACATGTAAGCCGCTATCGGACTGAACAACTGAGGCCCCAGTGAAATGGGCATGTAGTGCCTTGATTTGCGAGATCTGACTTCTGAATATACTGTAACCTTCATAGGTTAATTGTTTTCAGATGGAAACAAGTTCGGTATCATGGTTGATGGGTTGTATACCTTTGGGAATTTAGGTTATTAGTAGGGGTTGTCAGTTCAAGTCCCAGTGTGGATGATATTTTTGTTGCACTTTCGACTTGTTTTGACTTGTTCTCTTTTCTCACTTTGGTGCTATTGGGCTCAGCGTGCTTACACCTTTTTTTTGAAAAGAATAACTTTGAATGGAAGAGGGCAAAAGAGTGGCTAAGTTGAAAAGTATAGCAAAAAAACACCACCCAAAGGGAGCCTTGAACCAACAACCCCTACCAACTACCTAAACAGGCCTATATACATAGCCCATCGGCCATAACACTGAACTTGTTTGCAGTTAAAAACAATTAATCTATGAAGGTTAAATACCGAAGTTAGATCTCGCAAATCAAGGCACTACGTGCCCATTTCACTTTACCTATCCTTTCTTCCATGCCTCATGCTACTACTCCTATGAGATTTTCCGAACATTGACTCGGTAATTTGAAGTTTTCAACATGACGGCAACAGAGGCACATGCATCAGGGACACCCTTCCAATTTGAGCAATTCAGGGACTTTCTCATCACCTTTTTCCCTGATAAACCGGTTTTCGCTGTAAGTGGACGTCATGATCCAATAGTCCACATGACGAATTTCGGTTCCGCACTTGCTTGTTGCGTGAAGGCAAGCCTGGCAAAGAACAGCTCATATCTCTGCAACCAGATGAGCTAGGGACTTGTGGTTTCTTTTAAAATGCATGTATTTTACTCCTACAGATTAATTAACCACCGATAATCCTAATTCTCGTTTTTTATAAATTCACATTTGTTACAATCCCCCCCATTTTTCTCAACAATGGCTGGATGGAAAGAGATGAAAATTAGGCAGTAGGTAGTTCTTGTAAATATCTTGAACCCATTTTTTTTTCTAATTGATAGGACTTTTTTCATTTCTTAATCAGGTTATGTGCCATTGCGTGGCTCACACAATCCCCCCACTTTCCTCAACAACTACTGAGTGAAATGGGATAAAAGTTGCGCAGTGAGTAGTTCTTCCATATGTATCAAACCCATTTTTTTTTCTAATTGATAAGATTTTTTCGTTTTTTAATAAGGGTGGGTGTTCACGTCAATGTAGCTTGACTGTCAGAGACCAGATTCGAGACGAAGGAATGTCTCCGTAATGGAGGGCTTCGGCCTCAGCGACTTCTGCCAAGAGCGCTGTGCCTAGTGACACGTCCGTGCCCTAACTTACTGACTGGCAATTAGAACCTAGGGAGGTAACTCTAGTTGATTTTTCTACTGGGGCGTAACCTATGTACAAGTGGGATATATATATGGTTACAGTGGAGACGGTTCCGCAATTGGCGGAGCCGAACGGAGCGGAGCTAACGGGGTTTAAACATTTAGCCGACTGAATATTACCGACGAGTCGGTTCATGGGGTTAGCGGAAAGGCAGGCGATAACCCAGAAACGGAAAGGAGGGATAGGCCCGAAGGTGGGCTCTGCAGGGCAGGCGAGTGTATTGCCCAGCGGAGGCGGGGGTGCGCTAGCGGACGTCGGAGCTGTCCGGAAGTCTTTGGGGCTCCGTACTTAGGGAGGCGTAGGTAATAAATTGAAATGAGGGGGTGGTGACCATCGAGGGGCGCCGAGAGGATTGCGGAATACGGGGGCTCCGAGGTTAGTGAGGGAGGAGCGGAGTTGGAACGGAGGGATCGGAGGGACCGGAAGTCGATGGCTGGGGATGGATATGACACTTGACACTGTCCCCCCTGATTTCCTCGACAATGGGAGGGTGCAGCGCAGTGAAAGTCAGACAGTAAGTTCTTCTGGTATTTATCTCAAACCCATTTTTTTTCTAATTGATAGGATTTTTCTTCATTTTTTAATTGGGTTCTGTCTTCATTGCGGGCTCACCTCAGGTTTGATGGCTTTTCCTCAACAATGGATGGTGGAATGGGATGAAAGTTAAAAAATGAAAAAAATTCTATTGATTAGAAAAAAAAATGGGTTTGAGATAAATACCAGAAGAACTTACTGTCTGACTTTCACTGTGCTGCACCCTCCCGTTGTCAAGGAAATCAGGGGGGATGGTGTCAAGCTACATTGAGCATGGTCTTGAACACCCACCCTAATTAAAAAATGAAAAAATCTTATTAGGGTGATTCACGAAGGCAAAAGTAGGACAAAACTGACGCAAAACTTGCACACAACTCCATCACATGCTGATGCAGTTGTGCCTCAGCTGTCCAGACAGTTTTAGATTAGTTTCAGGGCAGTTATGGGGTGTTCACGAAAGTAATGCAAATATTACCCAAATCTCTAAGTCTGTCCACCTTGCCTAAGATGAGCCACTTATGTAAGAACTGTACAGTTGATGCCAACCATATCCCCTCGTCAACAGGCTATTGCTGCAACACTGACACATGTCCGTACCCTCCAAAATTCCTACTACCATCGCTGCTGTCGCTTAGTTCTGTCTCAAACCTATGCCGACATTTCGGATGGCTCAGAGTCCAGCAGCTCTTGCGCGTCAACCACATCCTCAACTAGTTCTACTACCAGTACCACCTCTACCTCTGATAGCGATGGCAACCTTAATTCCACACTTGCACCTGACATCACACCCACAGAATCAGACTCATTTGATGCCATATTTGGCCGTATCCACCACATTCACTCCACTGCTATGCGACAGGTCCGTAAATTCTTGACCCTATTGCTCACCACACGTGTTCTCCATCCCAATGAGGTCACAAAATGCAGTCAACTAGGCCTTATCCTTGAGTGCTTCAGATTCAATGATCCCACCCACTTCCGTTACAACCTCTGAGTATCCCCACGCACATTCAACATGCTACTTTCACTGATTGAAAATAATCCTATTTTTCACCCTGAAATGAATGCATCCTCACTCCCCATCCCACACCAGCTAGCCATCACGCTTTACCGCTTTGGCCATTTTGGGAATGCTGCATCAGTCAGGAAAATTGCGCAGTGGGCAGGCTGCAGTGAGGGTGCTGTTGTCAAAGCAACTCGCTGTGTCATACGGGCTTTTATCCCACTGCATAACCAAGCCATCTGATGGCCCACTGCTCTGGAGAAGCATGAGGCATCAAATTGGGTGGAAAATGTATCATGTTGTGCTTGGCGATCTGGATACTGTATGGTGGATGGGACACTGATTCCGCTTGCATCAAAACCTGGTCATTATGGCGAGCAATTTTTTGATCGCAAATCCAACTACTCCCTTAGTCTTACAGTATGACACATCCTGATATGTGTTTGTTTTACTAATTATAATTTGGTAGCTTATCACACTTCCCAATCTCCGGATTGTTGATTATGTTCTGGGCCCTCCTGGTAGTATGCATGATTGTCAGGGTTCAGCACCCTGCCTTAGGGTGCCCTGGACTCCCCACCTACTTTACCCCCTTTATTCTTTGACTGTTGCCTTGTTGTTGCCTTTGTGTGTTGTGTACATGCGCGCACGGGATAGCGTGGGAACTTTCTGAGCGAGCAGCTCGCCCAGAACGTTCCCACGCTTACTGGGCACTGCCACCTGGATGTTCCCTCCAGGTCACACTACACAACTCTAGGAGCTGTATAGTTGTGGGCATGTGACCCATTCCTTTATATAGCAACCATGCGGGGAGATGAGACCTTTACCCTTCTTCTCATCTCATGCCCTGCATAGGCAAGTGTATATACTCTCTCCCTTTTACTATACATCTCATGCCCTGCATAGTGTGAGGACAGGTTAGATGGGGGTTGAGGTCAGGGAGCCTCCGAGTCCGAGGCCGGGCCCTGACAATGATGCAACAGCTTTCCGTGAGTCACGCATTGCCAAAGAACATGATCAGCTCTTCCATAATGGTGAGTGGGTGTGGGCTGACACTGCCTATGGCCTCACACCATGGTGTATTGTACCATACAAGGCTCCGCTGTCTCTGACCCCAGAGAACTGTCAATTCAACTACTACCTCTTGCATGTACATGAATTTTCAATTTCCTTGACTGTTATTTGCTCATGATTACACTAGGTCCGCATCCGGTCTGAACATGCTGTTGGTTTCCTGAAAGGCCGGTTTCAGTCACTCAAAGGACTTCGGCAACAGATTAACTGTGAGAATGATCTTATGTTGGCATTAGCATGGATTCGGGCTTGTTTGATAATTCATTCTATAGCTGCTCAATTTGAAATTACGGAGGCTGAAGATGATTTCTGGGACTGGATCCATCTTGGCTTGGACGGACAGGAGGAGGGACTAGATGAGGAGGTGGATGGCTTTGTATGGACTCATCAGGAGCAGCGTGTTGTGGGTGAAACAGAGGGGCAACAGAAAAGGCAGCTAATTCAGGAAGCCCTATTTGATGCATTGTACTAAAATCATATTAAATTGTAATGCTTGGAGTCTCAGAGACTAGTGCCAAAGTTTCCACTTGTGCCAGTCATGTCAGTTGGTCCCAGGAAAGTTGGTGTGAAAAGCATATCATGGGAAGTGTCATATCCGTGCATACCCGACCCCGACCTGACTTCCGGACACCACCCTCTTCACCTCCGGAGTCATAACCTACCGCTGCCTTTCCGATACTCACCTTCGGTCTTGGCAACACACCCCTCCTCTTACCTCTCCGACCCCTTCTCCGTCCGTTCCGATACTCATCTCGGACCGAACATCGCCTTACTCGCCACCCTTCCTACAACTCCGCTTCCCCCTCACCACACCTCCACCCTCCCGTCATCCCCTACGCTTTCTCCGTCCGTTCCGATATCCACCTTCGGACCTGACTACTCTTCCTTACCTGTCCCCTCTCTCCTTCCTCCGTCACTCCTCCGCCACCCTTCCGCCAAGTTACGACCATCCACCGCTGTTCCGTACTTCACACTCAGACACCGTTCGTACCTTACTCCGAGCCTCCGTCATAGTCCATACCTCGGACTTTGACTCCACCTCGGTCTTAGTCCATTGCATTGGTGACCTCATACTACGTGAACACCATTGCCAATATTCCTCGGACTTCCAACCCCGCCTCCGTAACCTCCGTAAGCTCCGCAACCCCCGAGCTTCGCGGACCGCCTCCGGCACTCTCGCCGTTTGTAATGTATTTCTCACAATTCCCCCTCATCCCTATTTGGACTACTGCTTCTTTCTATTCTAGCCAGTTAGTCATCACCCCCACTTCCCCTCATCCTCCTGCTCCTCTGGGCCTCGCCCACTCTACCTCCTTTCGGTTGTATCACAGGTCTTGCCCTATGACCTTCGGTACCGCTCCGCTCCCTCTAACCCTTTGTTCCCGTTCGGACGTCTTCGTTCCGATTCGGTCACCCTTTGTTCTCCTTGTGCTTTTGCCCCTTCCTTATATATATATCGGCGCTTGTACATACTCGTCTGGTTTCAGTCCGAAATCGACCTGAAATGCCCCCAAGAGACTTCCTGCTCACCTACTGTGAAATTAAGGACCAAATGGACAAACAGCAATGGCACAGCGCTCCGCTTGAGTCGCTGAGGCCAAGGTCCCTCCACGCTAAGTCTCCGATTCCACTCCGGAGTCGTCCGTTTCCGCCCATCTCTAACAGGAAGTGCGGGAGGCCAACTGCATTTCCAATTCCAATTTCTTAACTTCCAGGTTTAGCATCTCTTGTTGGTGCTTCTGTGTTGCACGCAGTGTCTTCCGCTGCTCCTGGACCAACAACCGCTCATGTAATTGCTCTGACTCCCAGCATGTTTGTTCAAACTCGAGACGACTTTGCTCATGAAACTCAGATAGTGTCATATCCATACAATCCCGACCTCTGCTCCGGGCTCCTGGAACTCCGAACTCCGACTTCTGGAGCCCTACTTCCCTTCCATCACTTTCTCCTTGCTGACTCCCAAGAGGTTATCCCACCTCCGGCTCAGACACCACCTTCGGTCCGACTCCGGAACATTCCGGGTCCGACCCCAACCTCGACACCTTCCAGACGAGTACGCAAAACCTATGCTCCCGACTCTGGACCTCCACTCCAGCATCCCGTTCACATCTCGTCTCCGGAACCTCCGGTCTTAGCTCCGACCTCGGACTTTGACCCCACCTCCGCTTATACCCATTGTATTGGTTAGCTCATTCCATTTAATTACCTTTGCCAATATTCCGGAGTTTAACCTCCGAGTTCGGACTTTCCGGACTTACTCCGGACCTTGCAACTATTGCATTGTCCATTTCAATTCCGCTATTCTCCCTCATTCCTATTTGGGCTGCTGCTTCCTTCTATTCAGTCAGCTAGCCATTCCCGACTCCCATCCTCCTTCCTTCCTTCTTGGGCCTTGGCCCTTCATTCCTCCTTTGGGAAACACCATTGAGTCAAACACTTGACCCTCGGTGTTGTTCCTCTTTCCATCTCCCTTTGTCTCCTTTCGTCCTACCCTTGTTCCTTTTGATTCCGGACCCCTCCTTATATACAATGTACCTAGTAACTTGTAACCTCAGTCCGAAATTGACATGAATTCCCCCAAGAGACTTTCCCTCTGCTAGATCCGAAATTAGGGACCCCCAGGACAACCAGCAATGGCACAGCGCTCCACCTGAGTTGCTGAGGCCAAGGTCCTTCCATGCTAAGTCTCCAATTCCACTCCGGAGTTGTCCGAATCCGCACGTTCTGACAGATAGGGCATCACGCTTTCCTTTTCGGGTGGGTTGAATAAGCGCTGATTTACTGAGAGGAGTTGATACTGAGGGCAAAGGTGTGTGAAACCTAGCAGCCCGAGTGGGTTGAGTCAGTGTACTCAATGTAGGAGTAGAGGCCTCTGATGGCGCATATTTAGTCTCATCCAAATCAGAGAACAGCACAAGGGGTGAGGATGGTGGTGGTGATGATCCAATTGGAGATGTGGAGGCAGCACTGGTGTCAGGAGGCAGGTCCTCATATGACACATGAATAAACAACAAATATAATGGTCACCAAATACACATACCAGAAGTTGAGAGTTGTCCTCAGAATTGCCCTCCACTACTGCTCCACCTTTTTCAGACAAGGAATTGAGGATGCCATCTAAATGGGTTGCAAGTTCCTGACCATCTGCAGTAGAGTTGCTGGTAGTCAGCACATTATACTTCGGTAATTCACACCAGATTGGGTTCAGATCATGCCACCAAGGGAAATCCTCCAGAATGGCATCTTTATACAGCATAAGATGCAAGCACAGACCATTTCCGAAAGGATGACTCACCAATTTGGTTAGCAATTTACGAACCAATAGTGATCTCAATTTTGTCCAGACCAATCCTGGTTTGACTGAGAGTTTTGGCATGCTTTTTATACTCCTTGTGAAGACTAAAAGCGGGTGGGAACAGGGATTTAATGAGGCACAGTTAGACATACTTGTCGATGCAGGAATTAACTGCTTGTGTATACTTGGCCTTGTTTGCAAGAAAAAAAGGACGCTCTGGTTCATCCTCCACATCCCAGATTGCAACAGCAACCTGCTCATGGTAGAACTTCTTAGTGTGGTGATTGGATACCTTATGATGACAGTGGCTTGTCAGTGCTCAGTTGTATGCAGAGGCCGAAGAATAGATTTTACATACCTTTGGCCTATCTTCAGACACAGCCAACTTGGTAGAATCCCCAAACAGTTTCAAGTGGATGTTAGTGTTCTCAACAATAAAAGCAACTAGACGGTCTGTCCAGTGTGAATTGCCGAGCCAAAGCACATGTTGGGAAGATTCATTCTCGGTTTTTGGGAGTGCTGGTAATGGCTCAGTGGTGGCTGGTGGCTCAGGTTCTAGCCCAGGAACTTTTTTTGCACTTGGAACGGGGTGGATTTGCTGAGGAGTCAGCGATGTTGGATTTTTGCTTCGTAGTCCACCCAGCCATGGAGGGGCAAGTCCGAAACTGTGCAGTTCTCACATGATTTCGGATCCGCAGTAGATGGAGCTAAGGAAATTCTAAAGACCGAGTTATGGATGAGTTTTGCCTGAGTTGGGCCACCCAAGGTCCAACTCAAAACTCGACACAACTTGCTGTTTTGTTGTATATATGCCAAGACTTTTTTTAGTTATGTACAAGTTGAGAAGTCCTAGTTATGACTCAGTTGTGCCTAGTTGTGTCTTCATGAATCACCCTATTGATTAGAAAAAAAAATGGGTTTGATGCATATGGAAGAACTACTCACTGCACGACTTTTATCCTGTTTCACTCAGTAGTTGTTGAGGAAAGTGGGGGGGACTGTGTGAGCCACCGCAATGGCACATAACCTGATTAAGAAATGAAAAAAGTCCTATCAATTAGAAAAAAAATGGGTTTGAGATATTTACAAGAACTACCTACTGCCTAATTTTCATCTCTTTCCATCCAGCCGTTGTTGAGAAAAATGGGGGGGATTGTAACAAATATGAATTTATAAAAAACGAGAATTAGGATTATCAGTGGTTAATTAATCTGTAGGAGTAAAATACATGCATTTTAAAAGAAACCACAAGTCCCTAGCTCATCTGGTTGCAGAGATATGAGCTGTTCTTTGCTGGGCTTGCCTTCGTGCAATGAGCGAGTGCGGAACCAAAATTCGTCATGTGGACTATTGAATAGAAAATGGCAGTAACACAGGCTGAGAATGGTCCTAGCTCAGAACTATTGCTAACGTGCTCACTTATTTCACGCCAACATCCAACCCCTTGAGTTTTCTGCCCTTAACTCAGTACCTTTTCAACTGGAACAAGGTGCACAGCAAAGGATCAGGGGTACCCCTCCCTAGAACCAGGAAAACCCACAAACCATATGTTAGATTTCTTGGGATTCAAGCGTATGCTGAGGCCAACTTACATTGTTGGTGTTAAGTCTTGTGGCGCTAAGATTTACTTCATAGTGCCTGGAGTGCTGGAAGTCACATGTCAAACCAAAAACCAAATTTTTTGTTGCCATCCCTTTCACATAGGAAGAAAACCTACAAATGGGGGTGGGCAACTTAGGTTGGTTCCGCATTCTGCTTATGTAATCAAAATCCACTCTAACATGGCAGCCATGCTGATTTCATCATAACTTGTATTTTCACTCTGTGAAATGGTCATCTAATGGGAATGTACATGGATTATTATATACAGGGAGTATGAACAGCAAGATCGGTGGCTTATTAGATGTGAATGTAAGTGATCGGGTTATGGTATTTTCAGCTTTGTGGTTGATGCTTGCGATTTTGCATGTTGTGAATTATAGTGTTTTAATATATCTTTGAGTAAGACTCACCTCTTCGCAACATGCATCCCCCTAACAGTTGTTCGATTTGGAATGCCAGTGTTGTCTGTCACCATCCAACAGTGCTTGTTAATCTGCTCAATCAGAGCACCGCCGTTCATCTTCGCAATCTCCACACAATCTAGGTCAAGGGGAGTCTCCTCTATCCTCTTATTTTTAGCCTCCTTCTTTTGCGCAATCCAGCTAAACTTGGCGAGTCTTAGCAGCCTTTTGTCAGGGGACAACTCCTGGGTCCCCATGACCCTCCCCTATGGTCCACAGCCCTGTGGTGTAACCAGCCCTATCCAGGGCACAACCTGCTGTGGGTAAGAAGATGAGAAGGAAGCTAACTTCTCATCTTCCCACAGTGGCCCCAATATCAGCAAAACTTCTGGGGATACCCGGAAGTCACATGAAGGGGTAGGAACCGGGCTCAGAGCATGCAGCGCACGGAGTGTGCGCGCCTGTGGGAAGCACAGTGGGTGGAAGCGGGTCCGGATGCGGGTCCGGGTCCGGGCTAGTCAGGGTGTGTGCCCTGACACCTTTGCATCCTCTGCACGATTCAACCATGCCCATCCCTCCAATTCAAGGTGCAATGTGTCTTGCCTTCGAGCCTGTGCATGGATGTATACATGATGGGCCTCTGTGAAATGCATCTTGATGAAGGCCTCCATGTTATTGCAGCTGTACATCATCAATGTATTAATTTTAATGAGAGATTAGACCAATATAACTTAAACAGAAGCCCCAATCCAGTATAGATGCTAAGAATGAGCCAATTGTGGCTAGAGATCAAGCTAAGACTGTTTCAAGTTTGCATGGTTTATTGTTTACATCGACGCTGCCATGACCAATTACAAACAATACATGACAAAAATCCCCATTTTGTTTTTCTCTTTACAGAATCATCCTGGAGATGCAAAAACTGGGGAGATGATTGATATTGTATATCTCCTCAAATCGTTCAGAGGAATTTGCGCATAGCATTCTACATACCGAGAAAATGGCAAACAAGGCACATTTTCTCAACCACAACAGAGCCATTTCTCATTTTCTCGAAAATTCCTCTGAACAATTTTTAGTACACATCGTTCTGAGTAACTGTTAATAATGAACTTTTATGCCATATGTGATGTGTAGTGAGAAAAAGTGTGAAGGATTTTTGGGCTACCCGACATCCTTGCCACTTACATAAGCTGGTGCTTGGAACTAACCTGGGTTGCCCACCCCCACTACAAAACCCCCTTGAGATGAGCACAAAAGGAAATATACATGTGATCAAGGCTGAACAAAAAATGATTAGAAACCAGCCAACAACCATTGCCTACATGTGATGTTACTAGAAAGGTTGCTTCACAACCATGACCTTGCTTGCACATCATTGCTGACCACGAGGCCAGTTATTAGAGTTGGCTTTAGTCATTTAATTCCTTGACACTCCATCCATCAAGCACTCACTCAGTTGACATTTTCTTTGTAGTTAATGAGCACTATGAGTTGAATTGAGGATGGTCTGAAATGATAAAAAATATAAAGGGTTGGCAGAGGGGGAATGCACCGTCTCTGAAAGGTTTGCTTACTATTTTGGGGATGGTAATGTTCCGTTCCCCTGTTCACCTCAGGCCTCAGTAGGTCCATCTAAACATAAGCTTTGATGGGCTGTATATTCAATGGAGTAGAGGTAAAAGGCTACTGGGCCTTTACAACTACTCTGAGGTATATATATGTAAATTACATATCTCAGCACAAATAAATAGAGAAGTAACAGCATCGCTATAATGGGAATTATAGCGATGCAACATAGTATAAATATCACTATAATCAGGATTATAGTGAAGTAAGGTTAATCCCTTACATCCTCCTCCCTTGCGATATTGAATCACAGACAGGGTACAAGCATATGAAAGGGAAAACAAGCATATTAAAGAAATACAATGCTCTACATACTGTCAGGGACAGCTCCGAAAGCGGTGAGGTCCTGGCATGAGGGACTCAATGGGACAGGTGTCAGCTATGCGTAGCGGCGGTCCTGTCGTGGGGTGAGTGTCCCCGACCACTTAGTCTGAAGTGGGAAGTTGTGTTATCATTAAAGGGGAGAAGCTACAGTACTTACCTGAAGTGGGAAGTTGAGAAGAAGGCTGCTTCTTCTGTTCCCACCCCAGGCACTATTATATACATGCGGTTGGGGTCATGTGGGGGGAGCCATGTCATCTCTGCATGAGATCCTGGAGGTGTGCCACTCTGTGGGTGGGAATGCACACAGCGGTGTAGGAGAAATAATGGTCACACTATGGAAATCCATTATGGAAATATGCCAGATAAATCACAAAACCCCATACAACAAGTAGATATGAGAAAATAGAAGAACCTGAATTTTAACAAATTCTTACGAATTATTATGACTACATACGATAAATTGGAAGAAAGGAAATTAGCAAAAATACTTCAAGCTTAGCATCAACAAGACAGAATTCTCGGGGGAATTTATAGCAAATATTAAACAAAGAATTAGGGCAATCGACCAAGATTTGACTATAAAAACAACCAGAGAACCTCCACGGAAACTACTTTCCCACGCCCGCACATGTAGCTGAGGATGGAAGTACCATGGAACAAGGATTCCTTAGGAACTAATGCAAAATTCAAAGTCGTGTTTATAATAGGAAATGTAGATGTCTCACAAACGGACCCAATGAAAGTAATTACAGGGAAAACTACCCATAAACGATGGAGATATGACCAAACTCTCGGAAAACGAGGACAACGTTTAAAAGGCAAGCACGAAGAACAAGCAGTAACGACCGAGACGAGCTTGATAGCCCATTAGAAAGAAAGGGATCTAATCTTAATCCACCCAAATTTTCATAATAAAAGGATCACGCATCAATGAAATATCCAATAATGGGAAGAGCGACATCAAAAGTCTGGGCTCAGGGAAAAGACGACGTTTACGTAGGATCCATATTTAAAACACACAACGAAATTCACACGGAAATTATGATAAATAGGAAACTATAGTTATGCAAATTTTCAGCTCAAACGGTCCAGCCGTTGTGAAGTTATACCAATGATGGGAATATAGAAATCTGCATCATGTTTAAAGAAACGTGAGGGTGGCGATGCGAAGGGAACTGGCTGTTGGAACCGAGATCTGCACTTCGGCAGATCGCAAAGACCAATTTCCGTCCAAATAAGGAAGACTCCGGTCAAAACAAAGCACAGAAAGTACAAAACAACCTTAGATCATGAGGGAAAAATCTGAAATAAATCACGGAAGCCCGTATAAAGGATACAAACACCCGAGCAAACCATAAATCCCAAACAATTAAACAGAAATGGCACCTGCATACGAACGACTATGGGAACGATGCACGTGATTACCGAATGTGTGCATGAACTTTTGCCAACTCGACGAATACCAAGAAATAGAATACAACTTTAGTACCATCAGAAAGGTGGGAATATGTCAGAGACCAGGTCGAGACGAAGGAGTGTCTCCATGGCAGAGGGCTTCGGCCTCAGCGACTTGTGCCAGGAGTGCTGTGCCAAGTAACACGTCCGTGCCCTAACTTACTAAACTGGCAACCAGAACTGAAGGGGGTAAACTCTAGTCGATTTTATTACTGAGGTGTAACCTATGTACAAGT